ATTCCACCGATGAGGTGTTCCTGACGAGTTTGTACGACTGGTACCTCGAGCAGGGCTGGAACGATCGGTTGCTGCAGACGCAATCGCCATTTGTGGTCACCTACCTCCAGCGCAAGTCGAATGATGATCTGGGCCATGCTGATCTGCTCTGGCGGTTCTATGCCCAGTCGCAACGATTCTTCGAGACCGCACAGGTTCAATTCCATCTGGCCAATAGTGCTTTCGTGTTGCCACTGAGTCGTCGTATTGAGTACCTTGGTCAAGCCCGCGCCAACGCTTCGATTTTCACACCGGATGTCGGGCGTCAGTCAAGGCAGCGACTGCTGCAAGAGATTTCGAACTTGATTGACGTGGCCAACATTCAGGACGACCTACTTCAAAGACTCAAGGATGACGAGCGAATTCTTCCCGAGCGGAAACCCGAGATCCTGCGCGAGGTCGATGGACCAGTGATGGACATTAGTACAGTGAGTACTAACTTTCTAGAATCAGATCAAAACACGATACTAACATGTTTCTAGCTATTCAATAAATACGCCGACTCCGCCAGTTACCATGACATCTGTCTCCAAATCTTCTACCAAGCCGATCATCGCAATGCGGCCGACGTCAAGTCAACTTGGCAACACCTGATCCAGGGGGTCCATGACGCCACTGTTCAACACGGCTCACCGCAACCTTATGAAGCGGTGATCGACAAAGTCCGCAGCCTCGGCAGTCGCCTGCGAATGTCCGAGACCATTTTCCCCATTCGCGAGCTCGTCCCCATGCTGGAGCGGTATGCATTGGAGTTCCAGCGCAATGTCGGCCCGGCGACCTGGGTGGTGGATCTGTTCTTAGATCTTGGCGTGGCGCACGAATCCCTGTACGCGGTGCTGGAGACGATGTACTACACCGACGAGGCGCCCTTCCACGGGTCAAACCGGCGGTTGATCGCACACGACCTGCTGTACCTACTGAGTGGATGGTTCCATGAGACCGTGCGCCTGGGCGGCATGGTTTTCGGCTCGGATATCGTTGCCGAGCGTGTGTCTGAGATGCTGCTGATCCTGCAACAGAGCGGTGTCATTAGTGGGGAGCAATTGGAGATCGCTCATGACTTGCGGTCACGGATCGATGACATTCTACGGTAATGTGGCGTTTGCTGCTGAGGCAATGTGGGGGGACGGTCATGTAGCATTGCAGATCTGCGTGGCGGTGACTCCATTTACTTGACAGATGATCCTTTTTTAGGGATCTGTAGTGCTTTTTCTGGGGTTTTGTTTGTAACTCTAGGCGTGGGGTGGTAATGAAAACGAATTCACAGTCAAATGGGTCTGGTTCTAAGAAGATACAGGGAGTATAGCCCTGACACATCGCATCGCGAATGAATATTTCAATCTTCCAAAATCTTCCAATGTTCAAAATAAAATCAAATTAAATTAAAATCCAGAACTAAATCAATTAAAATCTATAATCAAACCCGAAACACCGACATGACCCCATTCTATCACATTAAGCAGTCTATTCGAACTCTTCATCCTCATCCTCATCCTCGTCCTCATAAACCGGAATGGGCTTCTCACCCAAAGCAATCAAACGGAAGATATGACGAGCCTTGGCACCGTAATCGTCATCCAAGTAATCTACAATGGCAGAGTCTAAGATTCATTAGCAAGGATACCTCAATTAACCCCGAAAGAGAAAAACAAAAACTCACGAATGGTCGACCGATTATCAAACATCACAATGGTCCTAGGTTGCCAGCGCACACGGACCTGGAAATCATGACCGGTAACCAGATGATTCATAAGGAAATCCAACACCCACTTAGTCTCAGAATCCTTGAGACCATCAATCCTGGTAATAAACTCCCCATTCAAAAACATACACTTCTCCCCGGTAACGGGATGCACGCGGATAAGCGGATGGACCGTATCAACGGGATCCTTCCTAACCAAGCCACCCGTCATACGGGCATGGCCAATCATCTTAGCAGAAGAATGCGTAACCTTCAAGCCATCGAGGAAAGCCGTGACAGCTGGCGAGAGCCGCTTATAGGCCAGATCCGTAGCGGCGAAGACGGTATCACCGCCGACTTCGGGGCCCTGCAGGAGACCAAGCATGACATATCCGGGTGGCTGGATTTCATAGCTGACATCCTGGTGCCAGAGGGTCGTTGTAGTGCGCTGCTGCAGGAAACGGGTGATTTCATCTCTGTTTCCGTCGCGGTGGATAATGTGGAAAGCAGGATGGTCTGTCATTGAGCCCGAGACGGGCTGGTAGTTTGGTTTACCGAAATGGCGCATGAAAGATTCCTGAGCGTCTGGGCCTGCATCGATGAGGTCCTGGTCTGGGAAAGCGACGACCTTGCGCTCTGAGATAAGCAGGGCGAGTTCATCTCTTCCTGCAGCGGATAGGTCTGAGAGCTGGACGTTCTCGACGATTGTTCCTAGGCTTGGCTGGATGTGGGAGACTTTTGCGGTTGGGGGCAACAGGTTTGGTTTTGATTTGTTACGAACGCGCAGGGCTGGGTCTTCATATTCGAAGGGTTGGAGGGGGTCGAACCAGATTGGGTCCCAGGAGGGGAGATATTGGGGGTATTTTGTTGAGATCTTGGATTGTTTGTCTACATCGACGTAGGGGATGTTGATGTCGTAGCTGATTGGTTCTTGCTTTTTTGGCTGTTTGGGACGACGGGGGGCCGAGGAGGGCATTGTGTATATTGTAGATATGTATAGGGTGGAGTATACCCAAGTGGAGGAAGTATAGATGGATAAGATGGATAAGGGGAAGAGATGGAAGTGGGATTGAAGTTCTTTATATATAGTTCTGTATACTATACATGATCAAACTAAAACACTAGTCACTTCCCTTCATCTCCGAGTGGAAAGATGCGAACAGCGGTCAGAGATAATAATGGAAAAAGAGGTAGGAAAATAAATATCTAAAGCAATTAAAACAACTAAAACAGCTAAAACAGCTAAAATTCAATAAAAAAACAATAAAAACCCCATGTCAATCCACTATCCACTACCGTTCCCACACTGCAAATCCCCGTTCTACTACCGTTCGCCCACTTTTTTTTCCCTCCAAAGCTTCCATAATGTCTTACACCGCTACGGTATGATATGAATCCCTCGAAGATAAGGCATAATGCAGGCCGAATGGCAATTGCATTATCTGCCATGATCTATGCATGCGGAGATTATGATTCGGCCACATGGGGTTCCTCGGCTTAAGTAGAACTATTTAGGAAGCTCTATGGAGAAACGGGAGAACAAGGGAATTAGACAAAAAAACAAAAAAGACAAGGAAGAACACCCTGTCCTGAGCTAATTAGGGCATCCCGATCTTGCGGTCTACTTCCCGGTATATGCCTGTTAGTCTCTTACCTTGGACCTATCAAACTGGCGTATCTAGGAAGTTCCCTGTAGGACCCATGCGTGACTACCTTATCCCGGTGATGTAATTTCAGGCTTGAGATTTGACATCCCAAGGTCCTTTGTTTTACTATGTATTCCCTATGTGGATATAATATTCGGATTCAACTTCCCCCCGAAGGATGCTAGTCAGGCCACCTCAAAATTGAGAAGCAGCGGTGAGATCTACCTTGGAAGCAGTTGGATGTGTATGTTTCCTTTATATCTACAACATACTTACCTCGGTAAAATACCCTAAATATTAAGATCACACTAAATATCCCAAGAAAAAGCAATTATAACTATATGATACTTTAGTTCCTACTCTATCTCTTCCAGATTGTTCCCTGGTCACCTGATATTCTACCCCTAAACAATCAACATATCAACACCCAGTACTCCGTACACCCACTACACCCACACATACACATACACAACACCCTGTCTTATCCCTTGACTTCGCATTGCATGTGACCCAGCACATCTCATCATGTCCATCTGCACTCGTAAACGGGACTTGGCCTATCTCCTATTTTTCGTCACCCACGTCCCCATTATTCTCCGTATGATTCTCTATCTTCATATCTTCATATAGCCTCACATATGCACATACTAACACCCACACAGTAATCGACACAGTCCCCCTCCTACCAACCTTCCTCCATACAAACCTCTCCTACCAGCTGCGCGAGTTCTACATAACAACCTACCGTGACAAATTCTTCGAAGACCCCCCAACATGGTTCACCGTCTTCGTCTGGATGGAGCTGCTGTACCACCTCCCAGTCTCGATATGGGCGGTTCGGGGTTTGCTTAAAGGTATTTTACTCCTTTCCTCAAGCTCGTGCTCGTACATCGTACATCGTACATGTTACTATGTATATCCTTGTATCCTTGTCTATCCAGTCCAGTCCACCCCTAACCTACATCATATCTTATATCCATTACATACATATGTATCTATATCAAATGCAATATCTGGGAATCTGACTACATACCTACATCCCCTTTTCTCCCCGAACAGGGAATGACATCACAACAAAATGCAAAAAACGCAATAAGCACCCAACTAACACAATTTCCAATTCATCTAGACCACCCCCTCGTCCCCGTACACCTCCTCGTCTTCGGTATTCAGGCCTTCATCACCACGCTGACATCTCTGGTGGTTGTGTGGAGTTGGACTGACCGCTCGGTCGCGGAGAAGCAGCAGCTTACCATGCTGTATGCTCCCTATATGGCACTAGGTATGTGCAGACACAGCAGCAGCCAGTCCAAGGTTGTTTGAATGTCGCAATTGCAGTACTAACACATCATAGGCGGGTTCATGGCTCTAGACATGGTATTCCGTCTACGCGACAAACTAATGCCGAAAACCAAGCGGGAGTAAACAGCATACACCTATCTAGGTACACCTGCACACTCGCGGTACTTAAACAAGTACATGTAGGAAAATAAACAAAACAATCTATTATAATGCAGCCAGCGTTATAATCGTACACATCATTACGTGCTTTGATCAAATCTCGCTAATACAAGGTCCCATCCCGACCAAAACGCCCTTGAATGTAAATGCAGAAAACGGAATCCATCCGTAGATCAAATCAAAAACCCGATCGCCCCCTCTAGGTCTCCATGTGCCATATCCAGAGCCCGGACAGCTTCCTCACGCGAGAATCCCAGCTCTGTGATCCTGGCAATGGAGTCCTGCGGCCACCGCGAAGTAGGGGCAGGTCGGATATTGATTCTTGGCTGTGACCCTGACGCACCGGAGGCGGATGCGCTATTGGGAGTGGCATTGGCATTGGGATTATTTTCCGCTTTATGCGTGACTGCGCCAGTGCGGGCACCCACTTCGGCACCATCGGCTCCCTTGACCGTAGGTTCGGCCTCGAACTCTTCAGTCAAGTGCTTGGGGATATCGCCCTCACCGAGGAAGGGGACAGCCTGGTCCTGAATTACGAGGGCACCACGCTGGAGATCGATGCAGGCCTGGTGGCGGCGAAGCATGTCTAAACCGAGGAGCAGGTCGATCTGCTTGCCTTCCATGACGGTGAAGGAGCAGGGCAGGAACATCTCACCGATCTTGATCTGGGCGGAGTGAACCCGGCCCAGGATCGGGGCGGTCCCGACGCCCTTGGCGATACCGCCGTAGCGACGGTCTACCAGGCGCATTATGTTACACGATGTTGCACACTCGGGCGACATGATAGTCACCTGAGCGCCGGAATCGACGAAGGCGTTTAGGCGGTGGCCGTTTACTTCGACGGGGATGTAGAGCATTGTCACGCGACCGAAGGCTAGAGAAACAGACTTGGTTAGCTTTGGTTCATTCTCAACCCAGCAGCCTAAGAGGCAGTTCGAAGACGTAGAGCGTACACTCAGGATGATGCTCCATGGCATTGTGTAGATTTTCGGTAACAGCATTCTGGCGAATAATCTCCTCAATTTCCTTCTGGTTATCGTGGTTAAAAGGATCGGCATTGAGCATCGCAATACGAGCTTCCTTTTCCGCCTCCCGCTGCGCCTCACCCTGTTGCTGCCTAAGCAGGACCTCACGGAAGCGCTGAGCATTATCCGCGACTTCAGACAGCTCCGGGTTCTGCCTGCGGACGGCCTCGCGCACGCGGGGGTCACCCAGGATATGTAAACGAATAGTTTCGGGGTCCGGCATGCCGGGGCGGGGTTGAGCGTTCTGTCTGGGCGCGACGGAGCTGGAAGCGGCGGGGCGAGTGGTTTGGGGTTGGGGAGCTCGGAGGGTGACGTGCACACCGAGCATGTCGCCCTCGGTGATGCCGGCTTGGTCTAGGGTTTGGGAGGGGTTCTGGAGGAGCTGGTTGTTGTAGACGAGTTGTTGGGCTTCAGGTGGGATGGTAGTTTCGCTTTCGACAATAGCTTTGAGGAGCTCGATTGACATATAGCCGCCCACTTCTAGGTTGATGATGTCCGAGTCCGCCTGCTCGGGGCGGATGACGTTGACGGTGATACGCATGGTATCGGGTGGCAAGGATGTCTGCTAGTAATGGGGTATGAAGTATGTAGATTATAGAAGAGAGGGAAGAAAGAGTAGAAAAAAAAAGGTGAGAGAAGCCGAGCGAAGTAGAAAGATACCGGGAGAGAGAGGAAAGATTAATAAAGCGGGAAAGGGACACCTGACTCTTAAGGAAGAGAGCTGTCTCTTCCTCTCTCTCCTCCTCCAAGGTTCTCCCTTACATCCACTCTATTTCTTTCAGCTTTCTCTCAAATCAGAAATGGGATAGACTTTTATTCCGACTCTAGTGCTGCAGCTAACATGGTCTCGTACATCCATGATCTTCTCCCACCTATTGCATATGCGCAATGAGCCCCGCGCTGAGCCGTTTAGCTCCTCCACTTGGGCCCATGGCCCCCAAACAGGTTAACGGCTGACCGGGTCCTATCCGCGTCATCAGGGGAAGAGTGAGCCTTGGGAAGTCGTTGGATATAGAAGATGCGCCTTGGATCCGCCTTGTTTTCTTGACTGTACGGTCATGTCCGCTATCCCACAATCCTCCAGTGTTGGTTTCCAGCACCAATGGCCTCATCCGTACTTTGTCAATTTACTATAGCGGGGCTACCTAGTCCGCAGGACTGTCCGAGAGCCCCGAGGCTGGACCAGCTACTCCAAAAGTACGTCGGTTTGTGTCCGTTGTCCTACCAGACCAGCCCCAAACCAGACCCCAAGCTATTCGAAGACGTCGCGATAAATCGGTTAGGACCCCCGCACTAGTCGACACATGCAGGGAACTTTAGCCATGCTTTGAGGCTGCCAAGCGCAGCTCAGTTAAGTTGCTGCATGATTTGTCCTGGTATAATGGTATAAACGTAGCGAGAGATGTAAACACGTATAACAATATTAAGGCGCTGGTCAAGCGTTCAAATGGTTTGAGGACAACAACCAGTTCAAGAAGTTCAACTATAACGTAGGTAACTGTTTTCGAGATAACCGTTTCTAGAGCCGTGCATTAGTGCTAATGTTTCAGATTGGCTCCATTAACCCCAACATCCGTGGATCAAGCATGGCGCCGGTTCGGGGTTTCTTAGTGCGGTTTCCGAAAATTCTATTCTATAGGTTGACTTTTAGTCCATCCCCGGCATTATTAGGGCGAAATATGTGCATCATTGCCACAACGTCCAGTTAAACAGCACCGTAGCGAAGATATGCGCTGGCAGTATTTCAGGATCACGAAGGATGACCAAATGAAGCCGAGCTATGCCTCTTCGTCCTTATATCCTGCTTGGCGCGGTTAGCTAGAGATTTAGAAATACGAATGCGTCGATGAACGGCCGTTGTTTGTTTGACTTCGTATCCAAACGAACAGAGCAGATCCTGCAAGAATTCTACATGTCCAGTCGGGTTTTCTTGGATTGATGGCGGAGAACATCGCCGACTTGAATTATCTTTCCAGCATACAGGTGCAATTTGACTTATATCAAGCTGCAAGTTATCAATGCGCATAGCCGAGGGCCCCGTCCCCACTAACCACCTTGGCGTCGATCACTTCGTCGATAGGAATCTAGCCTGGTCGAGAGAGATGACATGGTGAGACTCAACACTCATTGAGCCACATGACATGCCACATAACTTGAATCAACGTCATCTCCGCCAGATTACTGCTACTGAGCCTCTCCTCAAATGGCAAGTTGCCGTTTATAGGGCTGTGTGTTGGCATGCGACGATGTAGTCTAGGCTGGTGGGGTTGAGAGTTTTATAGATTCACGCTCGCTGTCATCGCTGCTGTGGTGGACGTTGTAGTAGGCGACGGAGACTGTAGTCATTGTTGGAGAGATGCCTTGTATGTACATAGGTATCTAGATTGGGAATAGCAAATATCCAGGACTATTTACGAGAGCATACAGTGTATTGCAAGTATCAGCATTCAAATAATTAGGGCTATGTCCGCATCTCCCATATGCCCCCCACATTCCAAAGTGCACTCGTAGGGAAATCTCCGCACATGGATATATACATTTTTTCTACTTCAATTTCCTCTTAATCGAAGGCGACTACCATAGCAACCAGTGATATAAGATCTCGAGAGACAGGTGGATGGGGGTTCTGATTGAAAATAACGTGCTACCACCTGTTGCCCTGGAAGCGGCTAGGATGAGAAGATGGTCTATTCATCTATCAAGAAAAACATCAAGAAAGATACCTTTTGAGCATGTTCCTAAAAAGGCTGTTAGAGATATCAGCTAGAGGCTAGTCAAGTCGTCATACCTTCTGGTTCTAATAAAGGGACATTAGGAGATACCTTTTGATCCCACATACTACATACTATGTCTATATGGGTTGCGTGATAGAACAGATCAGGGGGAAATGGAGAATAATCCAGAAAGTCATATCATAATCATTCATAACGTCGTGTTACAGGCTAGCACTAGTAAGAAAACCTGGGCTGAGAAACTATAGACAAAAAGAAAAAGAAAAAGCAAAGCTTCTATCCCTCTGTCCGAAAATGACCGAAAACTCCATATTTCCTCCGCTAGCGAGCAGTGATACTTGGGAAGAACCGCGGACCTGCGTACCCATGTGCGATGATGCTTTCGATATCAATGTTCCCGTGGGCTCGCGGGCTCCACAACTTAATGAGAATAAACCGACCAGATCTTGAAACGTCAGTATTCGGTTATCCCACATCCAATTCTAATGATACATACGGAGGCGGATCAAATTTGATGGTAACCATGCTCTTCTCCCGCTCGATGAAGAAGCGCGCATGTGGTTTCAAAACTTCAGCAGCTGGGTGAGCAGGCTCGGCTGGCGGATTTGGATGCACGAGACTCGGACCATGGCGCAGTCTCTGCTCGGAGACACGGCTGAGTGCACTCAGCCGTTCCGGTTCAACTTGTCGGCGACGCTGATGTCTGCTTGAATGCTCCTCCTCATCGCTTGGACTCTCGTCGGTATCCGATATAGGGGATTCCGTCCGTTCGGCCTGGGTTCTGTCGAGCAATGCAGAGCGCCAGTCTTCGTCATCTCCAGAATCTTCGTTATTCTCGTCGTACTCGGTGGTGATGCGGAACTGCGCTTGTGGATCTTCTGCGGTTTGCGGAACTGCGGCTGAATGTGGGCTCATGAGGACTGTGCGTTCGAGGTTTTGGAGTGGTGGTCGGAACCCAGTGAGATATTCTTGGGATGGTTGCATGCCACTGCGGCGGCCTCGACGGCGGTATCGGCCGCTGGAGTATTGAATTTGGTATTGGGCTGTGCGGGCAAGCAGTTCATCAGAGGTCATGGCGACGAATACCATGCCTTCTTGTATTCTGGTTCAATTAGCCACAATTAGCCATCAGTCCATCGTACAGACACGCCTGGCGGACATACGGAGCATCGAATCCGCATTGAGGAGCTCTGATAACGATCTTCTTCAAGCAGAACGGGGCCTCGCCCCGATGACAGAGGACCAAGTTACACCGGGCTTCTTTGGTAGAGTAGACACTTGTGTTGTTGTCCAAAACGTTCTCTGGACGCGAACACCCGCTATCCGGATCGTAGCTTCCTCCGTCGCAGCTAGCGATTTCCATTTGCAGCATTCCCGGTACTACTTGTCCATATTGACCGTAGTTAAAGCCTTGAAATTCCTCGCGGTTATCGTCGATGTCCAGCTTCCGACGTTTCATCCGTCCTTGGCCATCACGGCCCGACTGGCCGGATGATGGCATGAGGGACGGTGACCTGGATAAAGATTCGTCCGGGCTCGGTGGTCTGAGCGTTTGCCAGGGCAAACGATGGCGAAGGGAATATGACTCCGGGGAGAGCGAAGTTCGAGCCCGTTCTGAGCGAGTCTGTTCGAGCCAAATGCTCCGAACTCGTTCTGTGGGGCCAGCTGTCTCGGCCTGCAGTTGTTGGATCTGGCGATCGACGTCGGCTCGGGCTTGTTCAAAGTTGGTACGATCGCGAGCTCGGTCCAGAGAGTGCTCCGCGACTTCTCGGTTTAGTGTTTCCAAGGCAAGGGTGGCGTTGTAGGCGTTGTGGGCACCGGAGCGATTTCGTTCCGATACGAAATTGCGGAGATGCTGAAGGCGGAGGATCTCAGGGCGTTCGTCAGGCCTGGTAGCACGGGATATGCGGCGGGATGAAGAGGAAGAAGCACGAGGATAATCGTAATTCCCTGACTAAAGGGAGGTGTAAGACATCAGCCGGACGCGTAGGAGCCATGAAAGACATACCATAATTCAGGCTCGTTGGTACCGCTTGAGAGGTGGAGTTACCTGTATATGTCAGGTTAGGGGGTAGGGGGTAGGTAATACCGTAAAGGTACCGACCCGACAGAAATAAAAGAAACCCAAGAAGATTAACTTAGAGGTAAAGGAGACCTGGAGAGAGTTGGTAACCTTGTGAGTTGCCCAAGGTGATAACACGTGATGGTCGATTAGATCATCGATAGTGGAGTGGAATTGGAAAGTTGGGAAGTTGGGAGTTGCAACTTCGTTGTATTCATGGATTTCATAGATGTTATAGATTTCATGAATTTCACTGATCTCGCTGTTTTATTCTGCATTTCGTTTCTCTTTGTAAATTCCTTCATCGGGCATGGGTTGATAGCTAATTGTGTCATTTCCAAGGTTAGCTCTCTTTGACCTCATACTCTTCATTGATAAAGGACCAGATCCACAAAAGTGGCCTCTGGAATGTTCATCAATCTCCTTTTTAGATGCAATAAGGAATGCCAAATAGTATCTGGCAGAGATTATGGCACCTCTTAACTTAATATATTGCTCGAAAACCCATATGGGCAACATAAGAAGGGAAGTTCTGCGGAAATGCTCTACAGTATTGTAGATGGTTTGGGGAAAGAAGTCAGAAAATATACATATGCACTTTTTTTTGCTAATTTAGTCGCGTGTTAGGCAAATCTCTACATGTTGACTACCTAGGTACTACCTAGGTAGGTTTATAACCGGCCTCCAGGACTCTATACATAGCTTAGTGATCTATAAAATCATCACATCATAAAATCACATACACTCAAACTGCCTGTTTTATTCATACTATGTTGAAAATTTTCTGTTAATTTGTCTATATTCTATTCTCTATCTAATTGGCATATTCTATGAATATTTTGTGAATCATTAGATACATGTCCTCTTGTTACTCCTTGTCATAAAGTTGTATACTTCTTTGTCCCCACGGCCCCACATAGTAGCTCCCGGGTCACCTGACATTTAAACCCATCTGAACTTGCTGAACTTCTTGAAGTTCTGAACTGCTAAACTTCCATCTACAACACAACTTCCACTTTTATTCCACATCCTCTCAAGTCACAAGCCACTGCATCTCACTCAACACCAAATCCCCTGAAACTCAACTGCGGAGCTTCAAATCGCCAAGCTCGCACCTGGGCAAGATTGTACTCTTATCTCAACCACTCGACCGACACTATGGCGGAGCAACAAGATAATGCACAGTCAATCAGTGCTGGTATGGCCTATCAGTAGAAGCTGACCCGATATATACTAACCTTGCCAGATGAAATCGCGCTGTACGACCGACAGATCCGGCTGTGGGGAGTGCACGCACAAGAAAAGTGAGCAACCGAGCTTGGAAAACACCGCATATCCTAACAACAGCCAGAATCCGATCGGCGAACATCCTTCTCATCACTGTGAAAGCTCTCGCAAACGAAGTGGCCAAGAACCTTGTCCTGGCGGGCATTGGCTCACTCACCATAATCGACCACCAGGACGTCACAGAGGAGGACCTGGGCGCGCAGTTCTTCGTCGCCGAAGGACAAAGTGAGCAGGATGTGATTGGGAAGAACGTGAGCTACAACCAGAGAAGAATACCCATTGGCAGTCGCTAACAACCCGTACCAGCGCGCGCAAGTCGCAGGACCGCAAATCCACAAAATGAATCCTCGGGTCAAGCTCAACATCGACACTTCCGATGTCAAAACTAAACAACCTGACTTCTTCGCGCAATTCGATATCACAATCTCCACAGAGCTCGACTTCGTAACCAACACCATCGTGAACGCCGCCTGCCGACTGGCCAACAGACCCTTCTACGCCGCCGGTCTACACGGCTTCTACGGCTACGTTTTCGCCGACCTAATCATCCACGACTTCGTGATCGAGCGAAACAAATCCAACATGGCCCCCGCAACCCAAGAAACACCCACCCGCAGCATCATCGACATAACCACCAAACACGAACAGAACGACGCCAACAAGAAAGAACCAAACAAGATAATCGAGCTCGTCACCAAGCGCGAGGTGTACTCACCACTAATCCTCGCAAATACATCCCCACTACCGGAAGAATACACACGACTCCCACGGCGTCGCAAGCAAGTCACCCCACTTCTCAGCTGCCTGCGCGCACTATGGGAATTCGAAAAACTACGCGGCCACCGCCCGACCTTCACGCACGAAGACCTGGAATTATTCACGAAGCTGTCGCGCGACCGACACCAGGAATTGAAGCTGGAGCCACTTACACTGGACTCTGTGTTCCTGCGGACTTTCCTGCAGAACCTGGGCAGCGAGCTGAGTCCCGTTGCGGCATTTTTGGGCGGTGCGCTGGCACAGGATGTTATTAATGTTCTTTCGGCGAGGGAGCAGCCTTTGCAGAATATGTTGCTGTTTGATGGGGAGAAGAGCGTTGGTCCGATTTATTCGCTTCATCCTTTCTTCCCTGATGATGGTGTGGCGGAGATGGCTGCTGTGCCGCCAGTTAGGAACCCGATTACGGTTCCTGTGGATTTGTGAGAGCAATTGGAATAAATGAAGGTGGACAGGTGGTGGAAGATTGGACTGAGTTGGGCTCCTGGGCTCTTTTAGCATCATTACGAATCTCCTTTTTTTTTCCAACAGATTCCAATGACCCCGGACTTAGATCTGGGTCTCATTATGTACGATAGAACACGAGCAACCATTGATACTTGATACTAGCATGGAATTGGAATTATGTACAATTTTGTCCAGATATAATATTAGCTATTCATTCTCCAGGCCATTTAGAACCTGCAATGCTATTCGAAACCGACCCAAACCCAACCCAGACGCCGTCTAACACAATATCACAAAATGCACGATATACTTGCAATGGGAATCAGAAATCAATGCAAGGCCTCAGTGACGGCCCTCATCTTTTCCAAGTTCCTCATCACTGCTCTTCCGCGGTCCCATAGAAGGACCCTCCTCATCATCAGAAATCAAGCCATGGAGCTCGAATGCCTCGGCATCTTGGATCTGCTGCGAGTTTGAGCGCGCACGACCATTCGCGTTGCCGTTGAGAGTGGAGTAAATGGGACCGTCCTGGTTGGTAGACTCAGAGTTGGGCCAGGCGTGGACGGCGTAGATGTGGAGGAGGACGTTGACAACTGGAAGAAAAGAATGAGTGATTGTTCTAGAAAAGGAGACTGGTGATTAGGGAATCAACTTACAGAGGAAAACGAGGAAGGCAATGCTGTAGAGGATCAAGACGTAGGCCACGTGGGTGATGCCTGCGTTGTGCAGCAGGAGCATCTGCTCCTCGGTGGCGCCCATGAAGAGGAAGCCGGAGGCATAGAGCAACTGCAAAAGAGGAAGCAAGTTAGTATTATCTTATATATACCACATTGACCGGAGAAGAGACATACGAAGGGAGTCAGGTATTGGAAGCTGTTCGGCTCGGAGAGAGCAGGCTTATCCCTCAAGATGAACGAGATCTCAATGATGCGGGTCAGACCCGCCGCCATCAGGGTATACCCGAAGAGGGAGTGGACCATAGTACTGATCATCAGCTGCTGGGGGTGAGCGGACATGGCATATCCGGTAATCAAGATGACAATGGCCGGAATGAGGTTACGCTTAGGACGGCCGCTGCGAGTACGGCTGAGCCACATACCCAGCAGACCAGCACACCACCAAATTATGCCCATAGTGGTATGCTGGAGGTCATTGTGAGCCCAAGGGGAACCCCAGCGGTGCTCGGTGAAAGTATTAACACAGCCCCAAGCGGCGATGATGAGCGAATCGAAGAATTCCTGACTGCGGCCGGTACGGCGCAACCAATACTGTCCGACAAGCAAGAGGATGGTCAAACAAATACCATACGCAATGAATGCGGAGCCCATAATGAAATGGGCCAGACACTGACCGAGATGATCATCGCGGCAGAAACCGAGCGCGGCAATGCCACCGAATAGCATCTGCGCCCAGCTGAGGACGGGCATGACCTTGCCGACGATGCCGTGGGCCAGCACGAAGATCCATCGGATGCGAGCCTGGCCCGCCTTCTCCAAGTGCAGCTTGAGATAGACTCCGAGGACGACTTGCGCGACCAGCAACAGCATCAGCCAGTTTGCGACGGAGGCGTGCAGGTTCTTATCGAATTGGCGGCCTTTGTGGGCGTGGCCGAGGAAGTAGGCTAGTACGGCGATGACGGTGCCGACGACTTGGACGGGGACGTGCCAGCGGGAGCGGGTTATCTGATTTCTTTTGTTAGACATGGATGTGACGGTCGGAAAGAAACGGAGAGGCAAGTGAAGCAGTACGTACTCCGAGAACCATTCCCGTTGGGAAGATTATGCCAAATGCCAAACCCATGAGAATCATATGAGTCCATAGTGTTGAGTCCTGGAATCACTTGTTAACTTTGCGAGGGGAATGGCGTAGTACCACGTACGATAGGATCCTGGGAGATGGACTCGCCCTCAGGAACAGCATCATGGCCGCCATGGGCGAGAGCCAAGGCAACCAGTGCAAACACAGTCCATAAGGACTGACGAAGATATGCCATGATGTGGTTGAGGTAGGGAGTTGCAAGGGAGAAGAGAACAGATGCGGATAACAGGTAAACCCAATCCGGGGCATCCGATTAGGCGGGACCACGCGTGGAGTCAGGTCAACAATGTCTTTTTGATCTCCAGGGCTGTATTCTCGAGTACATATGTAGCTAAGTGATTTAACTATTTTATCATTTCCTTATTTAACAATTAAAAAAACTCACACCAAAATCAAGGACGCGCACGCAGAAACCTTGGAAGCCTTGGACTGGATTATTCAGCGTGGCTGTGATTGGTCAGGAGTATATAATTCTGGGGTACTTTGTACATCCATTAACTAGATAACTTCTTCCTCTTACAATGCTCTCGTCTACTGCATCTTACGTATCACAACACATAAGCATATGCACCTAATTGCAAACAATCTCCATGGATCCAGCCAAAGAAACCAAGTCCTACAAAGACCAGCAACGAATAGTACGTCCCCAGTATCCCTCACCGTGCACCCACCCGTGCCCATCATATCAAGCACTAACACCCACTGCAGGCCAGCCTTCGCGCTTCGATTGCAAGTCTAGAAGCTAGACATGCGGTGCTTGAAGCCAGTCTAACTTCAGTGACAACCCAGCTCATGTAAACACTCCCCAGTTCCCCCCAATTGCATGCAGGCTACACAGGACACAGCCCTAAAAGAACATGAATCATTGCATCTTGCATCTCTAACCACTGCTTATTCCAGTGACAATCCCAATACCACATGCGAACGCTATACCCAGCTTTTGCATGAGTACAATGATATCAAGGATGTTGGGCAGGGGTTGATGGGGCTTATTGCTGATGCGAGGGGCGTGAGGCAGGTTGAGGTGGAGAAGGAGTTTGGGGTTTCGGAGGAGGATTGAAGAGTTACACTGCAGGGACTCTACTGATTGAAAGTACTTGAAATGGGTTGAAGCTGTTTGACTAAATGGATGGAGTTTGGAGAAAAAAACATACATTAGGGATGTAGGCTTAGATGAATGAATACAATGAATCTCAATTCAATGCTCGTCTTCATCTTCCTCATCCTCATCCCCATCTAAATCCACTACGACCGAAGCAAGTCTCGCCTCATGCTCTTCCGGGCTCAAAGTTCTCTTGGAATTTCTGATACATTCCTCTACCACAATCATAGCAAGCCTTCTTAAAGCCTCTGATATCCCTACAAATATCCAAGATATTTGCGCCAACTCCTGGCAATAAACGATCCTGCAGAGAGTCCGTCCGGAGAATAAAGAATAATACCCGGGCTCTAGAATAAATACCGACCTATCGAGAACCACTGTGAAATAGTGATGGGGAATAAGAGGAAAGGAATAGTCACCGCGGACCAAAGATAGTGTTCGAAGGAGAGTCCTTGTGACATGTTGATAGTGTTGCAAGGCGCCGATAGGAAACCTATCAGGCGGAGCAGACAGAAGGGATAACAAGGATGATCCAGGGACCCGAAATTCTAAACTGTTTTGCTTCTGGCAAGATGGGACAAAATCCCTGCAGTGAACGTGCTCAACACAAGCCAAAGCATCCGGTGGATTGTATGAGTAAACCTCTAAAAAATTTAATTTGGATGGTTCCTCGCACAGGTATCTGTTCGGCTTTTATTATCCGAACTAGTGGCAGTGGTGATCATGCCTGTATCATGAGTAGACTCCTCCCTATATGGGGTTCTATAAAGTCCTCCTCTCGCCCTATAAATAACTGTTCGACGTTTCTTGCCCTCCTCCTTCCGTAGTCTATCAGTGAGGCATGTTTACTATAAATCCGGATCACCGAGATCCGCTACCTTCGCTGTTCCCGACACGACTCGTTAAACCCCTCAAGCTATCTGTACTCTTTAACCGATTTCAAGTTTCAGAAAAATAAGACAAATCTTGACTTAATATCTGAGACTCTACCTAAGCATATAAGCAAGCCCCAAGTCAATGTTAGGAAGACCAATGTCAAAGGGCTTTTAGGGCTTCTTTCCTCTTTGGGAGGTTTTTTGTTGCCCCCCTCTTCTATTTCCTCTTGCTGGGACAAATACGTTGATAACTTGTTTGTCGGTCTCCCACAGGTGATTTAGCTGGCATCGGCTTGTTTGTAGACAACAACAGATTCCTTCTTGTTCTCTCTCTCCTCTCTTTCATCTATCTTTCACCTCTCTCTCACTTGTTTTTCGCCTCTATAATTCCATCATTCCAACTATCTTTTCTTAAGCGGGAAACCATCATCCTTGTGTATCAACCATGCCTTGCCCCTATTATCGCAGATGGCCTCGTTCCGCGCCTCGCTACAGGGAGGAGGACGATGACCAGCCTTAGCTGGGAGCTAACCAAATCTTTTGTTGCCTTGACTGCCGCAAACTTGTGCTACCGGGTCACAATTGTGACCTAGTCTGTCAAACGTGCAAAGGCCATTTTTCACCCGGCACAGAATGCCTGGATTTATGCGACGCCACTCCCTGTTGTGCCTACTGCGGCAGAAACCCGGCGCCTCTTGAGATTGACAGGCCATCCGCTGCCCCTTCGCCCATTGAGTACAGTGTTGACAAGCCACCAATCCCGAAGGTAGGATCCCAGCGCCACATATAACAAGCCTATACCACTAATACTGTCCTTATTTCCAAGATTGTTTTCCCAGACTTGAAGCAAATTATGCGTACCCTCTGGGAGGTTTATAATCTCCGACCAGATCTTGCCGATAGATTTCGCTCGCGCCCCTTATAAGATGGTATTCAAAGCCGTCGGGGGCGAAGATGCGTTTATTGATATGGTCTGTGATACTGTCCTGCCAGAAATCAAGGCTTTACAGGGTAAAGTTATTAGTGTGGGGATGTGGGTTAACTAAAACCTTTTGCTTAGGATCACCACTCGCCTAACCACATATACTCTTTGTAACCTAGGCTGGAACACATTTGAGAAGATCTGGGATACACCTCATGTTGGATACCTCGATTTTGTGACACACATCTAAATACTCGACTACTGGCGTCCTCATGTTGGACAAGCCGGCGAACCAGTGTGAAAATTTGCTTGATGTAAATTCCCTTTATATACCCTTATTGTGAATTAATTTTTCAATTACTGTCAGTTTGGCCGAGTGGTTAAGGCGATAGACTTGAACATTGGGCTCCATCCGAGGACTCGTTCCCGGAGCTTGTCCACTACATGTCACAATCTATTGGGTTCGCCCGCGTAGGTTCGAACCCTGCAGCTGACGAAAAGCTTTCTTTTTGCTTCCCTCTCATACTAGTCACCTGTGTGTGGGACATAGATTGTTTTATGGTAACGTAAATGAGCTTTTTTGATATCGAGAATATCGTTGTTCAAGCTAGCAAGGACAAAGGTCTCTTAACACAAGCGCGGCTGTGTCACGTGATTCACATATCTGGTGAGCCTGGTAGGACGATTAGTATATATATACTTTTTCTAAAAACTCCTTTCACATATTATTGAGCAGCCCCTAGAGGGCTTGGTATGATACAAAAAAGAAGACTGACTTATACTGTAGGCAAACGGTCAAGTTTGGCGCCTTACGCTATTGTCGAATGAAGCCCGGCCCCCTATAAAGTGGGTTGTACTAGCCAAGTTGGAGTGAACTTGGAAGGAAGCCATATTAACTGCAATTAAACGACGAGTGTTTATTCCTACGAGTTTATCTAAAGTTTTCTCTTTATCGAGGGGAGACAGTGTGCCCTGGTTTTCCGGGTCTTCGCTGCTGACAACAAATAATCTATCACAAGAATGCCCAGGTGAGGAAAGATTGAAAGGGAAGATGTGAGAAATGGAGGAAATGGCGAGGAGTATGAGATAGGACCAAGAAAGGTAGAAGGGGTATGTGTACATAAATAGAAAAGCAAATCAAGAGAATTAGGCGGCCCTGCCAAGGGACTGGAGGTTGACCAGCTCGAAGTAGCGACCCTTGTTGCGCAAGAGCTCAGTGTGGGTACCGCTCTCGACAATCCTGCCTTGGTCGAAGACATAGATGATATCGGCCTTTTGGATGGTACTGAGACGATGAGCAACGGCGATGGTGGTACGACCGCGAGCAGCAGCGTCCAGAGCAGCCTGGACGACCTTCTCGGACTCGGAGTCGAGGGCCGAGGTGGCTTCATCCAGAAGCAAGACCTTGGGGTTGCGAAGGAGGGCACGGGCGATGGCAACACGCTGCTTTTGGCCACCGGACAACATGCCTCCCTTGCTGCCGACGACGGTGTTAAAGCCATCGGGGAGCGACGTGATGAAGTCGTAGATGTTGGCGTCCTTGCAGACCTGGATCAACTCCTCCTCGGTGGGGTCTTCGTTAGGGCTACCGAGCAGGATGTTCTCCTTGATGGTACCTTGGTAGAGAGTGGGCTCCTGGCTGACCAGCGCCAAGTGACTGCGGTAGGAATTGACATTGAGGTCGGCGATGTTCTTGTCATCGATATAGACACCACCGGAAAGGGCATCGTAGAAACGCTCGAGAAGGGCAATGGTGGTAGACTTGCCGCATCCACTGGGTCCGACCAGCGCGATGTACTGGCCAGGCTTGACGGTGAGGTTCAAACCGCGGAGCACTGGCTGCTCGGGACGGGTAGGATAGCGGAAGTGCACGTCCTTGAACTCGATGGTTCCCTCGCAGTGGTCCAAATTCTCGCCCTCTTTAGACCATGTGTCAATTGTAGGCCGACGCTCGAACAGCTTAAGGAACTCGGCGGCGGCGTTCTTGGCTTTGCCCATGTCCGGGGAGAAGGAGAACACTGTGCCAGCGGATTGGGCACCGAACAAGATTTCACTGAAGCAGACGAAGAAGCGGAAGACGTCGTACTCGTGGTGACCGAGCAGGGTTCCACCATACCAAAAGCCGAGGGCGACACAAAAGAAGACCAAGGCCTGGGAGGCTGCATATAAGGATGATGACTTGAATACCGAGATCAAGCTTGTGCGGCCCTGGCGATCGAGTTGAGCATGGTAGAATGCCCAGACATCGTTCTCACGGGTAAGCGAAGCCACAGTGCGAATGGCAGATGTAGCCTCGCAGGCGAAGCTGGCTGATCCCTCATAAGCTACCTTGGAACGTGCCTGGAACGCGGCAAGCATGTAGAAGCGGTAGAAGCCGCAGCCGAGAAGAATCGGAATGACAGACATGCAAACGAGGGCAAGTTTCCATCCGAAAGAAAGGGCGATCACAATTGAAGCGATGAGAGTTGTCGAGGTCATGAGAATTGTTCCGAGAGTTTGACCACTGATACCGGCCAAGTGCTTGGTTTCAGTTGAGAGGAAAGAAGTCAAAGCGCCGGTGCTATTCTCCTCACGATCGAAGAAGTTGATATCCTGTCGGAGCATGACGCGGAAGGCATTTCCACGGGCCTTGCGGATAAGTCTCTCGGAGCTAAACGCGAAGGCGATACCGTGGACCGAGAAAGTGATGATTTGAACAATACCGACAATGAAAAACATCAGTGACCAAAAGTTGGCATCCGATCTCAGCTTGTCATACTGGCTTTTGGGCAAGGAAAGTGAGCTGATAGCTTTGGCATACAAGAAAGCTTGAGTGGGTTGACCACAACCGGCGAGCATCGAGAAGCAAAGACCGATGGCCATGAACCACCGCTCTTCCTTGTTGAACGAGCCGATAAACTTGATCAGAGTCAAAAGTGAGTACTTGTTGCGGCCTTCAGCAGCCTTCTGCGAGAGAATAACACTAGACACGGACTTGCGAGACTCCTGGCGATGCATGGCGTCCTGGAATGTTTCGGCCTCATCCTTCATACCGGTCGAGCCGCTACCAATTGACTTGACACGTGCGATGTGAGATTTGGTCATGTTCTCGATGTCATCCTCATCCTCATCCACGTCCAAAGCGTCTGCGTCCTTCTCCTCGTTGATGCGCTGGGCCTCGACGAGCTTGTAGTAAGGACCATCATGCTCAGTCAGTTGGGCGTGGGAACCCTGCTCCACAATGGAGCCATTGACGAAGACAACAATGTTGTGCGCAGACTTGATAGTGGACAGACGATGGGCAATGACAATGGTGGTGCGGCCCTCAGCAGCGCGATCAAGCGCTGCCTGGACGACACCCTCGGACTTGGTATCCAGGGCGGAAGTGGCTTCATCCAGAAGCAGAATCTTGGGGTCGCTGACCATAGCACGAGCGATAGCAATACGTTGCTTCTGGCCTCCAGATAGCAAGAATCCACGCTGGCCGACGTTGGTTTCATAACCTTCCGGAAGAGCAGTAACGAAGTCGTGGGCGTTGGCCATCTTGGCGGCATTCTCAACGAGCTCCTTGATCTTTTCCTCAGACTCATGCTCGAAGCGTGTTCCAATAAGACCGTGGCGAATGTTTTGATAGATGGTTGTACCAAACAGAACAGGTTCTTGGCTGACCAGCGAGATCTGCTGGCGTAGCCATCGCAGGTTGAGAGTCTGGATGTCGTGGCCGTCCAAGAAGACTTGGCCGCCGACTGGAAGATAGAACCGCTCGACAAGACCAACGACAGTACTCTTGCCAGAGCCAGAAGGGCCGACCAATGCGGTAGCCTTACCAGCAGGAATGGCGAGGGAAACGTCCTTCATAACTGTAACTTCGGGGCGGGAGGGATAGATGTGCTTCACATTGCGGAACTCGATGTGACCCTCGACGTGGTCAAGGATGATGCCTTCATCAGAAGTAGGGTCTAGCGGGGATACACGGTCGATAGTCGCAAAGATTTTGGTAGCGGCAGCCACAGCATTGGTAAATGCCGAGGCGTTCGGGCTGACATTGCCCAAGGAGAAAGATCCGATAAGAATAGCCATAAGAATGGTCAAAACGTGTCCGACATCCACCTTACCTTCCACCAGGAATCGGGAGCCCATCCAGAATCCGAGGCCGTAGTTCATGAACATGAGTCCAAACATGATACCGACCATGACGGCGAGACTCATTTGCAGGCGCATGCCCCAGCGCTCTGCGCGAAGCAAGTGAGACTCGTACTGCTTCGCGAGCTTGTCCTGGGTACCGAATGCGGTCGCATTGCGGATAGAGCTGATGACTTCCTCCGCCACAGTTCCACCGGCACCGGCGCTTTCCAGGGAAAGCTTGCCGTACTTGATGATCAGTCTCGAGCCTCCGCCCATGATCACGACCAGCGCGACCATAGTTGAAGTACAGATGCCAGCCAGGGGGGCATACTTGATGTATGCAACCACAAAGGCAGTCACGAAGGTGGCGATGGCAGTTAGGGTTAAGCCGACCTTTTCGGAGACACCATCCTGAATCAGGTTGGTGTCGGCTGTGATACGGGTAGTCACTTCACCCGCACCAAGCTTGTCGAAGTAGGCGATGTTCTGGCGCAGGATGGCTTCGAGGTAGTGTTCTCGAATCTTCTGGGTGACATGTTCTCCTGTGTAGATGAAACCAACGGTGCTGACGTAGACAGTGATGAACTCTCCGATGCCAAGGTAGATGAAGTACAAGACATTGGTGGTCAACTGGTGGTAGAATTCGTCGTAGGGGATGGTGCGGAGCATAATCTTTTGGAAAGCCGTAGCCAATGAGCCAAAGAGAATGGTGAAGAGGGGCAAGGCAGCACCGGCGGCGATGGCGCAGAGTGTGCTGACGACAATGATGAGTAGGTCCATGCGGGAGGCATAACGATAGAGACCGAAGTAGGAGATACTGACGAGAGGCGCATCCAGTTGTCGTTTCAGGATGTCCCTTTCATGCTCGGGCAAGTGAGCATAGAGCGCCTCATCGTCTGTCGCGACTGGAGTCTTGGTTTCGTGTTCCTTTGCTGTTGACGTGGAAGCGGAATCGGAATCGCGCTTGTTGACGCGCTTCTCGTTAAGCTGAGGGTCCTCCACCACCTTCTCAACGGCCGTCAAGCCCTCCTCGGGCTGCTGCATGTTGAAGCTTTTGTTCTGGATCTCTACTCCATGAAAGGTTGAAGATGAAAGTTTGAAGCGGTGAGATCGGAGGAAATGAACCAAGATACAAAGAAGAAAGGAATATTAAGGGATGTAAAGGGTAGAAATTAGATTAAGAAAAGTAATGATAAACGAAAGGGGCAACGAAGGGATGGGAGATCCTAATGCTTTTTTACCTTGTCTTAGATTATACTTAAGAGGGGCTCCAGTGCTCGTAGTTTTTTTTTCCTCCGGGTCGGGTAGTCCGAATTCCGACTTGTCTTTATGCAATTTTACTATTTCCAACCTCTGCTGCCTAGATGGAGATAGAATCCTGATATCTCTCTATTCTACGTGCTAAATTGGTTTCTATATGTATAGGTGAAAAAATACAGGTGAAACTGAACATTCCTATCTTCACATTCCTCGTGCAAGGGCATCCCTCGAACACGCCCCTTTCTAAGGGAACACGACTTGACAGCCACGAGCTGTTTGCTTCTTTACTTCATGTGTGATGCAGGTCCGGTATGATTGGCGCATGCGTGTGGCACTTACCTAGGTACATCTTACATACTCCGTATTATGACCCCAACGGAGTAAATATCCAACACGAAACACATCATAGTGACGCAGAACGCGAACGCGAACACGAACACGGATAACTGACTCATACAACATAACTAACTAACTATATGTACCCCATATGTACGTACTCCGTATGGAGTATTTCGACCGAATTTTGATCCGCAATAGAGTAATGAGATCCAGCCCGATCTGGACCCCGGGGGCCATCGTACTGATTATATATTCCACTTTTTTACGCGTCGGTCAGATTCATGTCCGAAGTCCGATGTCCGACGCTTTGACTGCAAAATTGTCTCCTTTTACCTATTCCGTACAAGGGCATTTTGATACTTGCTTATGTCTATTTTATTTTCAAGGTTGGAGTCTGACTGGGATAACGTAAACACCTGGACGCACCCCAGGGCCACCTTGGAAAGGTTGGTGCTGTGCGACCTCGTACCTACCTACTTTGTAGACCTATGTGTCTGATGTAGATAGATTTGTTCTGATGTCCAAATCCAACCTTCACTTTGTGCCTGCAAACCCCTTGTGACATCCCCAGAAACATCAGTTGGGCTTGTCAACCAAGTTACACTACTATTTATGTCCTTCGGGCTACAAAGTCCACCTGGTCATTTCGGAATTGAAATATCGCATTTCCCAAAGTGCCTATGCACTTTTCTGTCCTCAATGTTGGACCAGACCTTCTCGTTCGCCACGTTCATAATGCAGTCGTCCAACATGGATGAGAACAATGTGAATTTGATTCAAATGACTGGAATACTGGACGAATGACCAGATTGATTCACTGCACCAAAATCACATCCCCACAAAGAATTTGCAAGTCGGTGCGGCTAAGTCTGGGATCCTCAAGCCGTGGCCAGATAAAACCAAGGAACATACTACCAATAAGTATGGTGTGTCAGGAATTCCCTCCCTTCCAAGGTTGCATATAAACGGCCTTATAGTAATACTCACTCTGATAGCAGTTAACTACCATGACTTCATATTTCGCGATTCCTTAGACATGAAAGATGGCTTGCCTGGATTTCTTATGATGGCTCTGTTTTCATCTCTCTGTGGCTGTATTTCCTTTTTTGTAATTATGGGGCTCGAGGAATAGGGTACAGGCATACGAAATGGCGTTACCATCTCCAAACCACCAGTTGACCTGTATCGCAGTGCATAGCGATCACTTGGGACGTCTCAGAATTGATGCTCTTATATCATACTTCCTTTTGATACGAAGACTATCACTTAATTCACTATCTAGATTTCGTCCTCCTCCATTCCATGAACCACTCTGCAAATCGAGGGTAACCGCGTTCTTCGAGTTTCATTCTGAGTCGCTTTCTCCATTCAACTTCATCGATGCCTGGAATTGGCGGGTGAAAGTTCAGTCCCGGAGAAACAGAAGGTTTTGTTGAGATCCAGAAACGTGGGTAAAACCCAACGGACTCCCAGTCGATGATCGCCGACAGCTTTTGATTGGAAACAAGTATGTTTCCTGGCCCTAGATCGGGATGATAGAGATGGAATCGCTCTTCAATCTCTGGGTTTTGATCAAGATCTTCCTGAAAGAAATATTTCTTGCTCTCAGACACACTTAACGGCTCCAATGAATCCCGTTCCGAGTGAGCAAGATAAGGCTCCAACACTGGACCTCCACATACATTCTGGAGTCGCTCCGAAGTAATAGTAGCGAGTATATCGCACATATGAACAACCTCATCTAAGATGGAATCTTGTTCGGTAGCGGACATTGTCCCCCAAGCGTCTCAGCGTTATACCCGCAACTCTTTTCAGCACTAAGAATGATCGATTCCCATCCACCCACGAATAGATCACTTCAGGTATAGATACCTGGGGTGCGTTTTCTTGAACGAATTTGATGGTTTTGCTCTCTGAAGTGGTATCGGAGGTCCAGGAGTGGACTTTGCAGATGGCATTATTTCCAATGGCCCATACTGCCGACAGGGTGCCTCCTTCATGAATCAAACGGACCTCTTGCGAATTTGCAGGCGTAGCATCGGGTGGTTGCTCAGATATTGCATGCCGAAGAATATACCAATCTTCTCCGTCTTTCCAGGCAGCCGTGCATGTGTCGTCTGGTTCCGCGATTCGATTGCACTCGATTGTGCACCCAAGGCGCCAGGTGGAATGAGAAACTTGCGTAACAGAATTCCGAATAGGAAATGATGACATGATTTAGGCGGATGAGTGTTTCTATTGACTTGTTTAAGTGTGGTAGTAATAAAATGGAAGCACTTGAGGTTGGGATGTAATGTGGAGCATTTTGTAAGTTGAGGCGTGCCCAATGGCACGGACACCTCATGTAGCTAGAAGTTGTGATCTCAACCAGGGATGTGACAACGTACACAAGACAAGACGATTTGCGCGTCAAGCAAGCATCCATGGATCACGTTGATTAGCTCATTCATAATTTAAAGCCTGAGTGCTCATCCAAATGCTTCCTATTTCTCTATTTACCTCTAACAACATATCTAGAATAAGTCATATTTCCCCGTAACCACCTTGGAGATTCGACAATAATTGACGCTGTACAACCAGCCTCCTCTGCTAACATGGAGTCAGTGCTATCTCCAATCTCTGATGTATGTGATGCTTACATACTTGGCCCAAACTCCGGGACTCTTCACTGACAGTATCATCTACAGCCCCACAGTCGGGATCCGGAGGGAGACTTCCCGCTAGACGGAAAGGACGTTGACTCTGTCACAGACGAGACTCTAGCAACTCTTCTTCAATCTGCTCCTGTGCTGTACAGCATTGGCCCCACAAAAGTTGTGCGACTCTCACAGCATTTGGTGATGAAAGGTGGCGGCAGTGTCCTGCCATGCGAAGCAGAGACGCTCAATTTCGTTGCCTCCAAAACCGGCATTCAAGCCCCACGAGTCCATTGGTCATTTCAAGTCGAAGATGAGACGCAGTATTTTGGCACGAAGGGGTATATTGTGATGGATTTTATCGCAGGCCAACCCCTCGATAAGTGTTGGACCGATCTACCCTACGACAACCAAAGGCAAATCGCTATGCAGATTGCGGACATGATCAAAGAAATGCAGTCTGTTGTAATCTCGCAGCCAGGTCCTCTTGGTGGCGGGCCATTTCGTGGCCGATTCTTCACAGATTATAGTGCCGGTCCGTTCAAGGACAATGCTGAAGTTCAAGGATGGTTTAACCACAAGCTTGATATCTGTAAGCACGTGAACCAATGTCCTAAAGATATCCCGCCATTTCAATTCAGCACTTTTGTCCTTACCCATCAGGACATAAGTCCTCGAAACCTGATCCTAGACCCCAATGGAGAAGTGTGGTTGATTGACTGGGCGAATGCCGGTGCATATCCCCCTGCCTTTGAAAGTGCTGCGTTATTGGCTCAGCAGTTTTTCATTGGCTTCAATGAAGCAGTCTTGTCTGTTATTCCACGGTTCCCTGAGGAAGAACTGCAACTCGATTCAATTACATATGGGTTGATTACTGCGGCATTAGCCTAATGAGATCTTACATGAATTAGTGTGTCTTTATGCTATGACTGTTGTATTGCTCCAGTTCTGTAACTTTGTTGATGATCAATGATAAGAATTCCTATGAGAATTGCTAGTGTTGAGGGAGGTTTATCCACGGCTTACCGGCTTACCGGCTTAGGAGGTTCCGAATCAAGGCCTCCAGGGCTAGATTGCTTATACCGTAGTACAAAATAGGACATTGCAGGATGCAAGGTTGCATTGTACCTCGAGTGTTTATAACGACCCTGGTAGCTACTAGTGCCTAAGATAAGCACTAATCGAAAAAGGTAATCAGGACATACTTATGTAGGTATCTATAAATGTATATCGTATACTGGACTGTAGAGTTGTATCGTATTACTTGCATAATGCTAGTGTGCAGCGCATGTGGACACTCGTAGAGCTCGACCCGCCAAAGCGGGTTCCAAAGTTTGCCTGAGACATTCGTAAGGTGTTTCCGCCTTAGCGCCTTAACGCCTCAGGCACAATTGTACATCACCTGACCCAACCGAAGCGAAGCCAAGCCCTGCCGCACACAAACCATCCACACTCGAAGGTCGATAACTTCATCCGTCCATCCAACAAGCTCGCCGTCGCGATCAACCCTTCAAGATGCCGGTATGTTACCACCCTGTTCACGCCATTCTCGAAAAATACTTTCGCCATCGTCGCCGTCTCCCTCCCCAGTCAGACCGCTGAAAAATTGAGAAACAAAATTTTAACCCGTCATTTTCCACACAGAGCAACAAGACCTTCCGCACCAAGCAAAAGCTTGCCAAAGCTCAGCGTCAGAACCGCCCCATCCCCCAGTGGATCCGTCTGCGCACCGGCAACACCATCAGGTAAATCGCACCCTTCGTTTCGATATCCAAATCCATCTTTATATCCGAGACCGCCATTTGTGGGAAGAGTGATACGGGAACGCGAGAGAGGAAAGGGAAACACACAGCCATCCACCCGCCGACCGCACGAACCCAACAGTGGAGGAAAAGTGACAACTTACACAACCGAATCGAACATATGGCTGATACAATGCTTCAACAGATACAACGCCAAGCGCCGACACTGGCGTAAGTCGACCCTGAAGGTCTAAGCGGACCCTCAGTATTCGCACCCTCCGTCCGGCCATTCTCAAAAGCCCCATTTCAGCTCGCGATGTCACATGGCAACCGAAGTGTGTCTGTGCGGGGTGGTTCAAGGGTTTTTGATTATTTCGAAACCCTCTTCATGATGTGACGCCCACAACCGAATTTCGAACAACATGCCTTCACCATGAACTTGAGAGCGCTAGTGGATGTGGAACTACTCTTGAGTGCAATTGCAAACAAAAATTCAATTTCAAAATCTTGATCCGGGTCTTGCTTTGGGTCGTGTCTATCTCTTTTTTTTTCTTAATCTTCCAATGGGTCGTCATTTTTTCCTCCACGGTTCCGAGTGGGGATATGATGGATTTCCAACACGCCTAATTTTATCGATATGGATGGCAGGCCCGGATTATTTTTGCAAAAGGGTTTGTTGTCGTTTGGGGCTGATCGTCGTCTTGCTGGGGGCGGGCTTGTAGGACTGGCGTGGCGGGGGATTTTCTTTTTTGATACAAAATCTGATTGAATCGAATTGAATGTCCTTTTGCCTACATTTTGGGTTGGTCTTGATGGCCGTAGATTCTGATCGGGGCGTTGCATGTGGAACATTTCCATGCTGTCTGTTCCTGATTGTGGTGTTACTGTTCATATGACGTCTTTGTAGTACAGCCTTGGATCTGCGTTTTATGTTGGATTATTTTTACAACTTGGCGGTTGTCGTCATAGTAGAAAAGAAATATAAGCAAGGGTTGGCTTTATGACCCCGCTATCTAATGCTACTGGATTCAGGAGGATTCTGTAACAAATGTCATTGCAAGGCTAGCGATTTTTTCCAAATGAAATCAAACAACCTTGCAAGAAAAATAGCAAAATTAAACGCCCCCAAAAAATAATCACCCTACTAGACATCAAGGGCTACGCTGCACATTGTCGTAAACAGCCGGGAGGATATCATTTTCTGTTTTAAAAAAGAGAACAGACATACAATCATCATTTAACGACTAAAGTAGAAATGTCAGCATAGATTCTATCCAAGGATACCGTTGTAGTAACTTACTCCTCAGCCCACTCGTTCTCGCGGCGGATCTGGTCCTCCTCCTCGGGAGTGAAGTCGTTCTGAATGTTGAAGGTCTTGCGGATTTCCTCCGGGGATTTGCCCTTAATCATGTTAGCGACGGTCTTGCAGCCGACGTCAAGGAGGGCCTTGATGTCCAAGTAGTTGGCGGCCTAGGAGCAGTCAGTATGTGCGCCGAAGAGTAAGTCTGAAAACGGAACATACGAGGATGATCTCGAAAAGCATCTCCTGGTCGACCTGCATGAATTTTTGGTCCCACTCATCAATATCAGTGGTCTTGCGACGGTTGTCGTCGTCGTCACTGGCGCTGGGGGGTCGTTCTTGTGGTGTTCGCACCACTCGATGACCTTCTTGAGGACAGCCTCGTTAACCTGGACAAAGAGATGTAAGTGTCTAGTTCTGGGTGCTGGCTACCTCGGGGTAGACACTCACGTTGGGGATGGGAATAGCCTCTCCGGAGTCGCCAAGGTCCTCGAGCATGTTCTTGATCAAGACGGAGCGCTCAGCAGTGGTGCGCTCTGTTCGGAATCTGTCAGCGCCACTCGCGACAGCATTCTGAGTGGAGGTTATGCTTACCAACAGAGATATCAACTCCATCGGAGCTGGTGAGGGTGATAGCGCTCATAATAGCGATGTTGAAGATGGAGTCTAACGTTCAGGTGAGGTTAGCTTTGCTGGTCGCTTTTGAATAGTGCGGGGCGGTTCAGTAGTAGGGATGTCACTGACCAGGTAGAGGGGAAATGTGTAGATTGCTTGTGATTTAAAACCAGTCTTTAGAATTGGTATGTGAAGATAGATGTTGGAGGATGAAAATGACGAGGATGTAACGAGTAGATGGCGGTTGGTGGAGGTTTAAGATGTTCTGAGTTACCAAAGGCGGTCGCGGTACCGTGGGACAAGGCCAACAAGGCTCCAAAGCCAGCCCCCACGTCTTAGTTCCTACAGTTGCCTAGAATAGCACAAATAATATTGGTTTGACTCACTAACTCACTTCAAAGAAACGAGAAACTGACCAGAAACATACTAGCAGCCTACTAGTTTAAGGACTAACAGTTGGGAACCTAGGATGCTGCCTGCAAGCAGCCCTGGGTTAACTCCGTACTAAACCAGAACCAACGGCGGCCAAATCATGTATTTACCTATGTAGTTCTAGCAATGTCCAGACAGTGGCTGAAACAAGAATCTGGATATGTTTAATTGCAACTAGGTCATTTTGGGCAAACTAGTATTGTTCTGAATTATGTTGTATATTCTTTGTAAGATTGTCGATCTATCAACTATGGTATCTTCGGGTATACTGTGTATCCGAGAACTATACGAGATCAACAAGTATATCAATCACATTAACAAAGATGTTGATGTATACATCTATCCGTATGTAGAATTAGGACTATACTACTCCGTACAGAGAATAGTATATATCATATAAATGTAATAGAGATCTCTATTGAGTTGCACAATCCCCACCGCTTCAATTTACCGCTTAACGCGAAGATAGCCCAGTGATATCATCGTCCAATACGCGTTTAGTTTGCTTTTCCCTCCATCCCCTTCCACTCCTTTCTTTCACTTCATTCTTTACCATATTCTTTAATTCTAATAATGTTCCCGGGTTTCTCCAACCATGTGGCGTCGAACATATTTACTGTTATTGGTGGTTCGCGTGTACTTCGCGCTGTCACCAAGCTATCTACATCCTGATGAGAATTTCCAAGGCCCAGAGCTTTTTGCAGGTGTGTTCAACTGTCCAATTATCGCCTGACAAATCGCGATCATACCGCGACTGCGCAAACGCGTGGAAATCTTTGTTGCGATTTTCCCTAAAGCAAAAAAAAAAAAAACGCGCGATCCGACTGTCCCGCGACTCCCCTATACGAAGGCAAAAAGAAATATTGACCAGATCGCCTACATGCAGGTCGCATATTCTCATTTCCTTCAAAGCTACCATGGGAGTTTACCGTTGAACACCCTATCCGCGGCATATTCCCACTATGGGCGACCTACGAGCTTCCAATGAGCCTCTTGAAATGGTTCTATACCGAGATCGGGTCGGGCAGTCCCCCACCTCACTTGGTTTACTATGCGCTGCGCGGTGGAATGTTCCTATTAAGTTTTGTACTCGAGGACTGGGCGATCTATGAGCTAGTGCCTTCCCCGCGTCATCGGCGCGCGACAGTGGTGCTAGTGGCCTCTTCGTATGTCACCTGGACATATCAGACGCACACATTCTCCAATAGCCTCGAGACCCTGTTGGTTGCCTGGGGATTGGTTCTGATTCGGCGCATTGTCGAGAATAAAGTTCGAGAGATAAAGCTCCAAAACACACAATTCATGCTAACTTAACTCCCAGCGACACTCGTCCTTCTTCTCCCACGCCGTGCTCGCCTTCATCGCCGTGGTGGGCGTCTTCAACCGCATCACCTTCCCGGCTTTCCTTCTATTCCCGGGCCTACAATTGCTGCCTCAGTTTAAGCGCAAGTAAGTCAATCTACATATACTTCACCTCCAGCTCATCAACCAATACACATGTACTAACCCCGCATTCGCACCAGACCACTCTCGTTCGCAGCATTCCTCCTCTTTGGCCTCCTCTTTTCCTTCATCGCAGTCTACGCAGACACAACCTTCTACCGGCCGACAGCCTCCCTCCTCAGCACCCTCCGCGACCCCATAATAACCCCTCTCAACAACCTCCTCTACAACACCGACACTGCCAATCTAGCCCAGCACGGCCTCCACCCCCACCACCAACACTTCACCGCAAATCTCCTTCAACTCCTCGGCCCAGCCTACATCGCCATGCTAGTCTCCCTCTTCAGCTGGCCACTGGTGCCATACTGGATGCGCAATGTGCGCGCCCTCTCCGCGCTCTCCGCAACGATGCTCCTCTCCCTCTTTCCGCACCAAGAACCACGCTTCCTCCTCCCAGCCGTGCCCCTCCTCCTCAGCTGCGTCCCCATGCGCCGCTCCCGCCTTCTTCTCGCTGTGTGGGTCATCTTCAACGCAGCCATGGGATTCCTCATGGGCGTGTACCACCAAGGCGGTGTTGTCCCCACGCAGCTAGCAATGCGCGACATCGTCTCATCCAGCACAACACACCACATACCTTCCGCGACGGTCTTCTGGTGGAAGACATACTCACCGCCGCTGTGGCTTCTCGGCGGGAACAACCAGTCCACAGAGATCCAGACGCAGGATCTCATGGGAATGTCCGGTGTGGAGATGATGCTCCAGCTGGAGCAGGTTGTACCTGCCTGCTCGAATCCATCATCTGTATTCCTGGTCGCGCCTACATCGGCGGCTTTCCTCGACCAATACGCTGTGTCTGCGCGTCAGAGCCGAGACCAGAGCTTGCAACTTCATCCACTTTGGTCTTATCGCAAACATCTTAATCTCGATGACATGGACTTCGGCGACGATGGGATCCTGCCGACTCTGAAACGGGTCGTTGGGCGCCGTGGGCTGGGTGTTTGGTCTGTGCGGAGATCTTGCAAATAATTATTGCTTCTACTTCTACTTCTACTTCTACTTGTTCGTGGATTGTACTATATTCACGGATGGGGCGTTGTATTTTGTTCATCTGTATTTGGGAACTACCTTCTCATTTGAATTTGGACTGCAATCTCTTTTTATTTTTTTCTGAATATTTTCGGTGCATGTTAGGGTTACTGGGTCCATAAGATACCTTTTGCATTGGGGATGGGCGTGAATCGAGTTGATATCTTTGGGGTTCTAGTCTACTTGTACTTACCTCTACCTATGTACATGTAATTAGTACTATGTTCAATTTATTCATTGACTTTTTTATTCCTGTCTAGGCTGGTCAGCTGGGTTGTGGTCTGGGGCACCACTAGCCGGTTCGAATATCTACGGATCTATCACGAGGGAAAAGACATCTCAAAAGACACCTGAAAAGACAACCTGAGAAGGAGCGATAAGGGCCATATACATCAACTCGGCCTCCCGGCCGGGGCACGACATAATAAATGCTGTGTGGGGATATATTATTCTGACTTGGGCGGTCCTCGCGGTTCCAAGTGCCAAGTGGGACCTTGGGGAGGATATAGACTTCCTCAGTCATGCGGATATAATACATTCCAACCATTCGCAGGTCATCTGTACATCTTTCTACCTGCATAAAAAAATACGCATGACCACCAATGAAAATCACAATATGACAGATGACCAGATCGAAGATCGTCACTTATTCCCCACTACAGTCTTACACAACTACTCACATACTCTATCTGCAGCGAACAGGTCCCATTTTGCCCATTAAGGTAGATACACAACAGGCGTTTTGGGGAGAGGTAACAGCGGGGTGCAAAGAAGCCAAGTACACACTCAGCAAGCAGAAACTCAGAGACGCCAAGCTGAGTACTGAGTCATATTCATGGGAAGGGATCCGGGGTGAGGAGAGATGGGAATCAATTCAAACAGCAGCATGCTTGGTATTCATCATAGAACATAACGTTAGAGGGGGAAAAGTAGAGAAGGAAGAAAAGAAGTCGAGAGAGAACATATAATTCTTTACTGCTCATCCTCGTCCGGCTGGTCGAAGAGGAAGTTGGCGGCGAGCTCCTCGTTCTTGTCGCAGGCGAAGTACGCCTGGATGACGGAGTCGCGGGGGAAGCCCAGACGGCACAGCTGGTTGTGGGTTAGTTATAAAAACCATGAGATAGAGAGGAGTTTCCAACATACACGCTCAATGGCATCGCGCTCTTCTTCGGTAACCGAAATGGCTTGCGCGCCAGGTGGCAGAGCACCCTCCTCGTCCTCGAGTTCCTCGCCCAGAAGCTGCAGGAATTGATCGGAGTTCTGTCCGATGATTGACGCAATCTGGGGATTCCCAGCGGCGACCTGTTGCAGGATGGGCTCGAGCATGTGGGGCTGCTGTTGAACAAGCTGACGAAGCTGTTGGAAATGGGGGTTGCTGCGGAGGAACTCCAGGCTACCGAGAGCCTCACCACCAGCGGCACCGGCACCGGCACCGGCGCCGGCACCAGCAGCACCGCGAGGTCGGCCACCACCTTCACCACCGGCCTGAGCGGCAGCTTCGAAGAGGTTGAGGTGAGGCTCATCACCACCGGAAGGAGCAGCAGGAGCATCGTCGGTAGGGGCTGGCTCTGAGGCTTGTCGCTGTTGTTGTTGCTGTTCCTGGATGTTATCGGGAATACCCTGTCGTGATCATTAGCAAATATCCAAGGTATACCTTCCAACAAAAGCTTACGGTCAGAAGGTACTCGATAGCACGGTCAGGGTTGTAGAATGCGGCGCGCATGGCACGGTCGATATCGGTGCGTGCGAATCCCATTGCCTCCATCTGGACAACTGCTCCCTCAGCGGCAGAGCCCATGGTGAGAGCGGAAGGATCTCCGAAGGCGGGACCGCTCGAGGGAGGAGCCGCACCTGCCGGAGACGGGGTCGCGGGGGCGGCAGAAGGGGGAGGAGCAGCGGCAGCATGAGGAGCGGGGGGAGCAGCGGGTGTTGACACAGGAGCTCGGGCAGCCGGGGTCGAGGGAACTTGGGAGGAAACGGTGGACGCAGCGGGCTTGGGTTGCTGAGCATCAATCGGTCAGTTTTGGCTCGGTCATCACGGAAATCAGAGACAAGGTTTATCCCATACCTTTCCAGGCAAGCACACTAGGAAATCCTTCTCTTGGATGTTGTAAGATTCGACTGTCTTATCATCCTGAAGGATCTTTCCTACAAAGAGAGGGAAAAAAGCGAGGGTTAGCCATGGCCCCGCGGAAGGAGAGTCCGTCTATCAAGGGGGAAATACGAACCAGAGTAGATGACCTTCATGCGCTCTGCCTCATATTCGCCTTTCTCTTGGGCGATTTTGACCTTGACCTCGCGAACCTAAACAGATGAGCCCCGCACTCGATGACGCTGACTAGTTATGGCTAAGGGGACAAACGTACAGTCTCAGAAGGTTCGACATCGATGACGAACTTCTCCTGCTTCAGATCCTGTGATCGATGATTGTCAGCAGTCTGTGACAAGTGAGGACCTCGAGAGCAAGTTTTCGTACCTTGAAAGTGAGCTTCATTTTGCCGCTTTTGGGTAAAACCAGGGAGAAAAGGGACAGGGAGAAAAGATGACGAATTGAGATAGGTGAAAGGGAGAGTAGTTGATGCAAAGGATCCTCTCAGCGATGAAGTCGAAGAAAAGTCGAAGAGAGGGAAAAGAAAGTAGGAGGGGAGCATTCAGAGTGACGATGATAGCAAACGAGTGCGGTGACCGCCTTCGGATTTACTTCCACTACTCAACTACTTGACCATGACAACTTCCTAGGGCAACTTTTTTTTTTTTTCAAAGGATCTGTTGATCTTAACAGGCTATTATTGTTCTTTTTGTGCACAGCTCTCTCTTCATGTGGTGCACATATGCACATAGAATAATTCAGGTCTACCCCATTTGATTCCAAGCTGGTCGCCTGTTGGCCACCTCGATGACAACATCCCAGGCAGACATCGAGAGTCAATAGGTTGGAGATGTAGATCTGTGTCCCAACTTGGTTCCAATGACATTGGAGGCTTTTCAAGAACGAATTCTCGGCAGTTTGAACTCCTATATAACACAGTATTATGCGCCACTATTGCCTCTCAAGTAGGTAGCACGGACGTTGTACATTGCACATATTGTACCCACACCGAAAAAGGATACATATGAAAAATCCACAAAACGCGCAAAATCTATTAATTAAACTTGACAAATACTATCAATTGCATGCGGCAAGCTTCTTCCGGAAAGACACCGAATCACAGGTAGACAATCCAACCTGTATACTCCATTCCTGCACGACAGGTCATGATATGCCGTCTGTGCCTCTCTGACTACCGAGTATGGATCTATAGAATCTACAAAGTACAATTTTGAATTTGCTTAAACTCACACTATACTTAGCTCAGTCTGGTCCAACCGAGATCCAGGGAAGCGCGGAGATTTTCTCTCGCAAGGGAGAGAGATACGTCACATCCGGCCCGCACTATTGAGATCGAAGAGAGGATCCGCCACCTCGACCGGGCGATGTTGTCCACAAGACTGATGGATCAGATTAAATAGTGCCATTGTTAGTGAGATTGACCAAACTATCGGATTCATACTCTGCATGACGGGTCTGGCCTGGCAGGGCCCTACCCCAGAATTAGGCGCTATGGCTTCGCCTCAATGGCTGGAAATACGACAATTGCCAATATCCACATACATGATGCATCTCCAGCGGGATATCTCTGCCACAGCCAATCGACATAATCCTTGTCAAGCCGATTCTTATCTAGAAAGTCTAACCATCATGCTGGAATGATGGATCATACCGATCTCTTTGGAAAAGGAAATTGACAGGTTGAGACTGACTGCTTCCCCGGTCGATATACTTTTGAGCCACGCTGAGATCCGCATCGCCCCGTCCCGTGTTGCGAACCCTCTTGTGCGTCTACGCATGCCCAACTCATAAATACAGACATATTTCCCTCTCATGGAGTCTGCAGATTCCTTACACTCATTGCGTGCATTGGTAAACGTCTTGGATTGGCAGTCTGCCAACATTTGACATATCCACTCTCTTACTCTCTTTTGATATACTTCCAGGCCATTCTTTTGCCAATTCGTTCTCTCTTTTTTACCATCGCCATGTCTTACCTATCTTACTCACTGGCGGCAGCCTCCTTGCTCGTAACTTTCATTGTCACCATTCTTAATGGTATCTGCTATGCAACCTCGAAAGCCTCCCCCGATGTGGCCTCGACTATCCTAAGTGCAGTGAGCTGCATGGCTTTGATTGCCCTCGGTCTGCTGCACCACCAAAACATCCAAACCGGCCGCCGACAATATATCTGTTTTGCCGGCGGATATCTACTCATTGCTGCTGCTGCATCTGCCGGAGCAATGGCAATGAGTCCTCAAGCCTCAGTCTTTGTGGTTCGATCTGTTTTCTGTGCACTATCAGTGTTCGCACAAGGCTTGTACTGTGGATTCCTCGCGATGACACTAGCCCAGGAGAAATCCAATCTTGAATGGCCGCGTGCCTACTCCCAAGAGTTCAACTCCCAAGAGCTCAAGGATATCCCGCAAAGCCCTAATTTCCTCCCGTCTCCCCCTCGAGTATGCGACTTGTCTGAGCTATTCGAACCCAAAAGATCCTCACTTCGCAAATTCCCTCGGCGGTCCAGCCGCTATTCAGACGCAACACTCTGTCCTTCAAGCACAAAGGAAGAAAAGCACGCCTCTATCGACACAAATTCCTCAACCCACAGCTCACCAAGCCCATCCCCAACACGGGACACAATGCCAGACACCCTCCCAGACCGGGACACTCGCCCCCTCCTCCGAGGCCCCCACAGCATCCGCAGCATGCCCAGCCTACGCCGCAATCCACCAACCGCACTCTCCTTAGACAGTTTAGTACACCCACCAATGCCCTCGCCAACAGCGTCAACAATCCGGGTCGACTCCCCAACACAGTCCAGCTCAAACAGCTCAACGTGGGAATACAACCCATTCGGCGAGAATAACATCCACCCTCTCTTCCGCTCAACAAGCCCCTGCCCATCTCCAACCTTTGCCCCAGGGACAATGGTCAAAGCCTCGCCGAGCGCGGGACAGACCATCACGGTGGGGACGATCACGCGCATGAGATCTGCCCGTTCTCTCCGCGAGCAGGCCATGCGTACGCCCTCCCCGTTGCCTGGGTCGGAGTCAGATGAGGCCTTCCGCCCGAGGCCGAATCCGACTCGTGGCTTTGCGCACTCGCATTCTGAGAAGAGATATGACTTGAACGAATCCCCTTATGAAAAGTGATTGATCTACCTCGGTACATCGTGATCTGCATGACTTGCAATGTTTTTTTTTTTTTTCTTTGGCCTTTTGCTTTTTGCTTTTTTGTATATGATGGATGGATCTCTGGATATATTTGTGTACATAGGGAATGGACGGGTGGTATAATTGGATATTTTTGAAATGAATTGTGATTGCATATACTGAACTGGTGAAAGTATATATTCGAGTAGTTGAGTAGCAAATGTGGCTTCAAATCACCATTCGTATTTTATAGTTGCGCCTTTGTATTGGATGATACCTGGAAGTCTCTTTTTACTCTCTACTGAATTAACTTCCCATATTAAATACTAGACAGCCCTGGAGTGTGGCAAACAGCGTAATATATGTGATTGTCTTGGTAGCTAGGGATGACGTGGACTAGAGCACCTTGGAGGAAGAGACACATTCTCTATTGAAAATACTCCATAGTATAATCCAACTGGAAACCATAATAATTATTAGAGCCAATAGTAGCATTAAGAATACTTCGTATAGAGTACATTGCGAGTCATCCGCATGCGTTGCTGTCACCGACTCTTAGCCTAGAGTGGGTCCGTATATTTTTTTCTGTAGAGGAAAGGGATATAGAAGATAGAAGATAGAATAGTATATAGAATATGAATATGGATGAATATGTATATCTACGAAGACAATAAAGCCCCAAATATAGACAATATTAGCACACTGCCTAGACATGTACTCCGTAGAATCCTTTTACGGGGTAGGCCAAATACTTCCCCGTGTGCCGGAAGTGGCTGGGGGTCGGAGATACACGTACATGATGTTACTAGACACTCTATTGTTCCCAGGCAGAAGCTATAGGGTGAATATATTGTATAGTCTATTCAAAGTTGAATGTATAATGTACTGAATGTACGTGTCTTTGCTATTGGGGCTCTATCCCGAGCCTCAGCCGAAGCGGAAAAGTCACCGATCTCAATAGACATAGACCAATAGACCAATGGACCAATGGACCAAGTAGGAATAAGGACAATGTAATCTCTAATAGAATAGAAGTGAATCGAGAATATGAAAACGGGTGTTATTGTTATCCAGACAGTATTGTTATACACGAGAAGATCCAAGGTTCAGCTCCCATAATCAACTTGTTTTGACCTTTTCCCTTTCTTCTTTCTACTCGACTCTTTTTTTTCTCTTCTCATCTTCCTCTCATCTTCTTACTTTTCAACCTTTCTATTTTCAACTGTCTTTCTTACTCATATTCCCCATATCCTGTTCTTTTAACTTCTACCCCTTCAGTTCTGTTTCTACAGTTTCTACACCCTGTTCTCTCTCTTCCCCCCGTTTTTTTTTTACTTGGCCCCGTTTTCCCCATCCACCCGGTCAAATCCTGCAGTAGATCTCTGCTTTTCTCTTTTTACTTCGCATCTTTTTCCCAGATCCATCGCTTTGGTAAGTTATTTAAATCTCGAATGGTTTTCCTTCTATCCCCCTTACAATCTCCTTCAGCCTTGTTTTCCCTGTCCTGTTTGACCAAAAAACCTGTCTCCTTGATCTTGGCCTTGAGGTTCTTGGGACCTTTCGGACCTTTGAATCTTTTGGACCTTTTGATCTTCTTGATCTTCTGATCTTTTGATCGCGTGTATCGTCTCTACTTCGCGCTTTTATTGCCAAGCCTTTTTTCCCACTACCAACAGTGACGTTTCCTCTCTGCATTCTGCATTTGGCAACGCGACTTGTACTTTTTTTTCCCTTTTTCTACTATCTCCCCCTTTGTGAAGCCACTGTACTGTTATTGAACTCGATTCTATTCCATCGTTGATGTATCCGACATTTGACCTACTGTTCAATTTTCCCCCATCACCCTGATTTCCCGCTTCCCCCCCCTTGCTGCTACTGGATCAATTTTCCCCGTTCAAAAAACTGATTTTCTCCAGACCAACAGCGATGGTGGGAAGAAGGAAAAATCGCGCGGCTGCACAGCCTGCTGCCAGAACTCCTAGTATTTCTACGCGATCTGGGCGCACCGCAGGTAAGCTCATCTAGGGTTGCGCTATCGGTCCAATCTCTGACCTCATGTATAGATACCATTCCAATTCCCACTACTACTCGTGGAAGAGGTCGAGGCCGAGGACGTGGTCGCGGCCGTGGCCGCGCCAGTCTTCCTGGTCATCTTCCTTCCAATGAATCACCGAGCAGACCAGAAGTTCGCTCGCACATCATCAAATTAAAAATTTCCTCACTCAAACTAATTAAACATGCCGCTTCTGATGCCCTTGATGGGGAAAATGAAAATGAAACCAGTGCCGTCTCACAAAACCCAGAGACTCCTCGCACTCGGCGTCCCCGGCATCCTCGGACTGTTCCTGAGTCTTCACGGACCACCCGGCAGTCAGCAAGACTGAAGCCGGATGGAGATGGCTCCTTTGAAGAAGATGTCTCACCAACCAAGGCCGTTGATAATCAAATCACCGAGCCAGATGATGACATGGACTCTCACCACTATGATGAGGAATTCAAGTCCGAACCTCCATTTCAAAAAATCTCTCAATCTCCTGAACCTCGCATGGTTGCTTCAGCCCCCGTGTCACCTGGAGCTAATCAAATCGACCCTGCTGATGCCATGGTTGACGAAATGAACAATAACATGAACGATATCTCCGAGGCAACCAAAGCAAAGACCGAGGACACTCCCGTTGGTCAAAGTCCCAAGATTTCCCAGATTGACGAAGCGTCATTCAGTGCGGTATCTTCACCCCGACTTGCGCGCAAGCGAAAGTCACTCGAACTGCAAAATGAAAACCCGGATGTTGATTCCGAGGATTCTATGAACAAAAAGCTGCGAATTGGTGAGACTGAATTCGAAGAGACTCCAGAGAGCCACTTCCAAAATGGCACAGAGCTTGATACTCAAAATGAAACCTCTCCCGAGGACATCCCTATTCCTTCGGAAGAATTCGACCCCCCTGCTTATCACCCTACTATTCGGGGAGGCCGTGGAGGTCGAGGAGCCCGTGGCGGCCGAGGTCGAGGACGTGGCCGGGGCCGTGGTCGCGGAAGCCGCGGTGGATTTGTCGGCCCAATTCGACCTACAGCAGTTACCAAGCCTCGAGGTGGTCGAGGACGTGGCCGTGCCAAGGCGGCCACCATTATCAAACGCGGCAAGAAAATCGAAGACGAGATCTGGGACGTCACCGAAAATTGGCGTGGTCCCACCCCATCGCCTACTCCAGAATCAATGCCGACAAAAACTCGCCAGGAGGAATTGTCTGTGCTCTTCAAGAAGGTTGGCCAGGCGCAGCATATTGCGTTGAGTTTCATGGCCGATCAGACTATGCACAGGCTTGCTCGCGATAAAAATGCGCACAAGGATTGTCCTGAATTCGAACAAGTCCAGCGGGATCTGGATGAGTACGAACGCAAGGCAATTGAGAGATTGAACAACGAATACAAGGTGAACACCGAGTTGCAGACTCAGAAATATGAGGGTGATGTTCACACCATAAAAAATACTGCAAACGTAAGTTTGGAGCCGTCTTACCACTGAAGGATTCTAACTTGTGGAAACAGCTGCTCATTGAGCAAGTTCAAGAAGAGATGCTTACGATGCTTATGGGCAAGATGATGGCCCTGATCCAAGGCCGCAGGGTGGCTGAGGATGATGAACACACCGAGGTAAGTACTCTGAAGACTTCCAAAAACGAATACGCAGCTAATCAGTCTCCAGTACGACACATCGGATTCAGACGAATCCGTGAAGCAATTCCTCTTCCGAGACGGCGAGACGGCGGTAAGGCAGGTAGAGCGTGGATTTGCAGCAGAAGCAGTTCGAGACCCGGAGGGGGCAGTTGACTTTGTGGCAGCGGAGGAGGGATGGGAGGAATTCGTCCAGAGAGTACGGATGGGCCGCTTGAACGAGGAGATCGCACCAACAGAAATCACCGACGAAGACGCTCTGCGAATGTGCGCCAAGGATGCCTTCGGCAGCATGCTTCATGCAGCCACTTACATCCACGAGCAAGAGGCGAGCGGCAAGGTCGTCGGCTACGATGGTACCGCAGATTTCCCCGTGCACCCACGGGCACTTTCCATTCTGGCAGATGCAGCTCTGACCGAGCCCGTGCACCAACATCTTCCAATGATGCGAACCGAGCCCGGCACCCACCACCGTGCTCTCCTCCCCCAACCCACCCACGCCCACCCTCCCTCCTCCCTCCACGGCCACGGGCCAACAGACCCGCGGTCCTTCATTCTCCCACGGCCCACCCCAACCCAGCAGCCGCGGCGCCTTCTCCCCGCCCGCCAGCAGCTGGGGTTGGGGCTGGGCCTGCCGGACCCGTTCGCAATGAACGGGCCGCCGCAGCTGCCCCCACCCCCGGGCTCAAACTTTGCGCGTCTGCCCCTGCCGGGCTACATGCCCCAGGGCCACGCGCCCTCCCTGTACTTTCCGCCGCCGCCGCCGCCGCCCGGATCGCACCCCCCGCCCCCGCCCCCGCCGCGCGGGTACTAGACCCGCCGGCTTGTACCAAGATGTTTGTGTAGCGTTCCCCGCAGTTGATACCAATTCTTTTTTTGTATGTTTAGTTACGATGCCCTCCCTCCTGAGTGGGGATAGGGGGGGAGGGCATCAGAATGAATAGATTTTTCTCATTTGAATTGATTTCTGTGGTGCGGTAGGATGTAGTGTGGAGATAGTACGTGATGGGATATGTATGTGAATATCAAAACAAATCAGATTCAAGTTGAAAGTAAGCATCTCCTCTTGAACTTGCTCGATGAGCAGCTGTTTCCACAAGTTAGCATCCTTCAGTGATAAAACGATCCAAACTTACGTTTGCGGTGTTTGTTATGATGTGAACATTGCCTTCATACCTCTGAGTCTCCAATTCGGTGTTCACCTTGTGAGTAGCAAGTTCATAGACTTTAAGCAACGGTGGAACGAAGCCACAGGAGATAGAATACAAAGCACCGTTGCTAAGTGAGAAGTGAGAGATATTCAAATGAAACCAAGAAATAGTCATCTGAGGGAAGCCCTAATAAGAGAAGACGCCAGAACCAACTTTCGACAGGGAACCTCTATCATTCTGCCACATCCCCCGTCTCGTCTTCTGTCTCTTCTCACCTCTTTCACCTCTTTCACCTCTTTCACCTCTTTCACCTCTTTCACCTCTTTCACCTCTTTCACCTCCTTCACCTCCTTCACCTCCTTCACCTCCTTCACCTCCTTCACCTCCTTCACATATTTCCCCTGTTGAACTGGGAAGTAGCCATCTGCGCCGTTGTAGATGGCACAACAAACCACTGGACAGGCGATGAGACACGATGCCGGGAACATCACAGTGCACCGATGGATCAGTCTGAGTCCCCGGAAGATGTCAAGATGACTAAGAAGCTGCTAGCTGGCATCAACTCTGCCATCGCCAGAGCCAAGGCATCATGCATAACAAGTCGTGAGACTTCCGTACACGTTCGGCATGTTCGTGAGCGGATGCACGCAATGAGCACCCCCATCTCCACCCGAGACTCGTCGTGCTGTTGAAAGCTACAAGGTAGCAAAAGAGCATGCAAACTCACTTGCATCCACTGTCGAAGAGCATGACCTCGCGCTGCATGAGCGAGTCGCTCACCTACAACAACTTCGGGAAATGGTGGCCAACAACTACTCTTCGGTGCAGAGAAACGAAGACGGTCACCCGCTCCTACTTCCTATTTCTCGCTCATTGAACCTGAAATTCACCACCTTCACCACAAGCGTGCCGGTATACCATACCCAGATGTTGGCACACGTGAACTGCCTCCTAGAGCCTGTGCCGACTTTGCTCCCAACCCACACTGGCGTGTTGCTGTGGCTTTCAAGTCTTTTGGAGTATGCAACAAAAGACTGAGCCCAAATCCCGAAATTCCTTGGGCTCATCCTCGTCTGATGTTCCTCCTGCAGACCGCTTTTGAAAGTATAAAACCAGTATCCTAATTGTCTTCTGCCACTCTGCAGCCCTGCAGCCCTATATAAACACCACCCAACCCACCCCTAAGACGAAGCTGACCCATCAAAGACAGGATTCGTCCACGATGGGCTCCCCCACTCTATTCAACCATGAACTCATATCCCACAAGTTAAAGGAGAGAGTGTGGGTAGATTCCGCCAGACGCAAAGCCAACATGGCCATTGCTGTGAAACTCAATCGCAGAAAGCCCCAGAGCAAAATCGAGACCTGGGAATGGACTCCAATGTTCAACATCCCCATGTCACCCAATCCTGTGTGATCGAAAAGACTGGTGAGAAACTCACAGTCTCCAATACCCACTCACAATACCCTTTTACTATAACTATTGTCCGACGATCCCCCAAAATACCAGAGAGACCGAGGTTCGACTTGAAAAGCAGTCACTCATAGATATGGCAATTTCGATATGGAATACCCATGAGCCATGACTTCCATGAGAGAACCGGAAGGGAGGGAAAAAGAGAACGGAAAACGGAAAACGGAAAAAAGAAAGCAAGTAGTCGTCAATTAACCTCCGGCTTGCTTCATGATGAACAGGCACGGCAGTCTAGACTCTCTGCCATTGAGATCGATTTGCTTCGAGTACGTTTCCGGCAAATCCTGACGTTCGTTAGGGATAACACCACGGATCAACCTGGTTCTGACTCGAAAGAGCTTGCAAAGCGAATCAACATCCTTAATCGCGATGGTGAATGTGATTATCATTGCTTATGCATTATTCATGCTCGTGCATTGGAAATGGAGATGATTACTTGAACGAGCTGTTTGAGGGAGCATATGATCTGTCAGTTATCCTTTTCCTTTACCGAGATGCAAGATGATGCTAATTGATGTGACTGCTCTTAGGTACACACGAATGCTCTAACTCTATTAGAGCCTTCAGCAGACCCCGAATGGGAATATCCCCAAATATACTCTACTCATCCATTCCAACATTGAGGCTCTACTGGGCTCTGTGGTACCTTGGATAGGGACTATAATTATCCGCCCCCGAAGCCACGGCTGAAGGGCCCATTGGCCGTGATCACGCTTGCAAATCTGCACTCCACGCGCCATTAGGCGAATCGTGCCCGAAGGTTCTTACCAATAGGGCGCAGGTCGTACGCCGCTGTCAGCTGGGGATCGGTCTTGAAGATTCGCAGCACGGATCTTGCTGATTTCATCTTAGACATGGTCATCTACAATGATGAAGCCCGTTTCGGATGCAACCAGTGCGGCCTCAAGGATGTCACTCGACAGAGTTGTCCATCTTGCCCAAGATCTCTGGTGGAATATTCACCCAGAAAAAGAAGACCGCTCAAGTTGTCGTCGCGAATCCACAATCGGATTGGGCAGACCTTTGCCCAGACATCAGGATGCTGATGTTGGGGATCTCTTTCGAATGACTCGTACCAGCATCTTATGCTGCGTTTGTGCAGAGGCGGGTTCGAAAGCTACTCCAAACGAATCTGACTGCTGCATCGGTTTCTTATTGGGTATATTACTCGAATGCTCTTCAATCTGATCTATTTTTGCTTCTTTGATTCCAATTCCTTTATAGTATCACGGTTCCAATGACGACGACGCTGAAATTGAGCTAGACCTATCAACGAAGAAAGGAGTTTGAAGTTTAACAGAGAGGGAGCATTATATAGTGTTCTTGAAAGGGAAGTAAGTATAAAGGCATAACTAGTTAGATAGTAGGGTTGACATGTTGTAGCATCAGCCATGTTCTAGCCAAGATGTGGCTGTGTATGGCTATGACTGATATGTAGAATAAAGAATAAAATAATAAACATCAAATGAAGTAGAATGAAGTCGAATGAATCATCGTCAGGATGAGACACAATGAGTCAGTAGAAAGGAGGTAGCAGTACTTATTCTACCATACTGTACACCATAATAAATAAAGTACCAGTACATTGTATCAACCCACCAACCTCGCCTCTGCGGCTCCGGCGGGGCAAACTCAGGCGAAACTCTGATTGGCCCGAGCTTTTGGTCTTTTTTCAGTTGGATCGCACGTCTCTGCCAATTTATTTATCTCTCGGCTTCATTCTGCAAATCCTAGACAATTCTTGATTTTTTAATTCTTGACAGATTCTGTTTCTGTCGCTGCATCTGCTAGCTCCTTTTCGCTACCCCGCTCCACACCGCACACTTTTTCCCACTCTGCTCTTTGCAACATCTTCTGATACTCTAACCATTATGGCTGTTCGCGCGCAATTCGAGAACTCGAACGAGTAAGATACTACAAGCAAAGAACGTCTAAGAGCGTTTGGGGCTCGGGTTGACGGTTTCCATTTAGGGTCGGCGTTTTCTCTTGCCTGACAAATGCCTACGCTATCGTTGCGGTTGGTGCTTCGGAGAACTTCTACAGGTGTGTTATTCAGACATTCATAAGGGAGCAGGCTTGGGACTTGGGACTGGCATTGATAGGAATGGTGGGTGCTAAGGCATACCACGGCCAATGTCGTGCCATTTCAAATCTCAAATCTCTAACCTCTACCCCAATACACCCATGAACTACCCCAACTAACACTCAAATGCAGTGTCTTCGAATCCGAACTCCAAGATGTCATTCCCATCTGCCACGCAACCATCGCCGGAACCCGCATTGTCGGTCGTCTAATCGTCGGGTGAGTCGGATAGCCAGTTCAAAACGAACAGCCTTTGCTGCCTTTTCTGGCAGGAAGGAAACATTTATCAAGAAAACACAAATTCTAATATCTCGCCCTCAGTAACCGCAAAGGTCTCCTCGTCCCCACAACCACCACAGACCAAGAATTGCAACACCTGCGCAACACGCTTCCAGCCGAAGTCAAAATCCAACGCATAGAAGAGCGCCTCTCCGCGCTCGGCAATGTTATTTGTTGCAACGATCACGTTGCAATCGTGCACCCCGATCTGGAGCGTGAGACCGAGGAGATGTGAGTAACAATCTAGGGTTCACAACGCCCTGAAACCTGATCCCACCATTCCATTCCACCCCAATCTTTCTTCGTTGCATTTTTTTTCTCTTCCAAAACTGACATATCTCCTTCCCCCAGCATCGCCGATGTCCTCGGTGTAGAAGTCTTCCGTCAAACAGTAGCCGACAACGTCCTCACAGGCTCGTACATGGCCCTCTCGAACCAAGGTGGAATCGTGCACCCCAAGACCTCAATCCGCGACCAGGACGAGCTCTCTTCGCTCCTGCAAGTTCCCCTCGTGGCAGGCAGTGTGAACCGCGGCTCTCCCGTCGTTGGCGCCGGCATGGTCGTCAACGACTGGCTCGCCATCACCGGACTGGACACCACCGCCACCGAGCTGAGCGTTATTGAGTCTGTGTTCAGACTTGGCGAGATGGCGCCTGGCGGTGCCGCCGGGGCTGGTGTTAATAAGGATAGTATTGTGGAGAGTTTCTACTAGAGTTGTTGTCTTTTAGATTGCACTTTCTGGTGAGCTCTTTACGGTACATGGTCCTGTTCTTATTTTCACGCTGGAATGATTTTTGATTGAAAGTACTGGTATTCCTCTTTTTTTTTTTTTGGCCTGTTCGGCTTCTGTGTTCTCTGCTCTGTTCGGTCTGATGGGTCTTTCTTTGGGAGTCTGTAATGCCTATGCTTGCATATACTCGAATGAATTATGCATGATGGATGGAATGTGAAGTATCAAAGATTTTTAAAAAAATTAATCGAGATATAGATGTTGACACTTGAGAATATCGATCGAGATGGTCTTAGTCTTCTTATATAGCTTTAGAATTCATCTGTATGTTATAGATCTCCTAAAAAGCATGAAGCTTACAGCTCAAGACAGGCTGAATTGATGCAAACTATGATAGTGGCACATGGGCTCGGGGGTATTGTCGACAGCATAGAAAGCAATAGAAAGCAAAAAAAAAAAGATAAAAATGGCACAAAAAGAACAAGTTAGAAGCAAAAGTAATGCAGGCTGTTGAGATATCAGTTTCAATCCCTCTCTCCGTTCTTTTCGATTCTCTCGCTTTTTTTACTCGCTTTTGGGTATTGATGCACAAGCACAAAATAAGACAACAACCGCTGGAGTTGCCTACACCTGTCCCTCGATACTGATTTGAGGTTGCTCCGTTTGTGGTTCATTCTCCGCTTCTATCTCCATGTTGACATCGACTCCAGCGCCAGAGTCGTCTTTCGGAGGGGAAGGGTCGTCTCCAGTGTTTCCCATGCTGGTGTCACCATCGACATCATCTTCGGGAAGATCCGCTGGAGGGGGCGGAGGAGGAGGCGGTGGAGGTGTGGATTTCTGTCGTTTGGAGGGAGAGGCGGATCCGTCCTCAGCACCGTCAACATGCAGGGTTCCGTTTCGCTTGCGTTTGAGGGACGCGGCCTCATCGTCTTCCAGGGGAGAACTCGCAGGTGCACCCGCGACGGCTTCATCGTCACCTGTGCTGTGAACCTCGTTTCCGGGGTTCGGGGTGGCGTCCTGGGACTTCTTGCCCTCAAGCTTCTCGCGATTCACATATTTGGCTGCAGCCTTGCGGAAGAAGGTCTTGCAGTAATTTTTGACGGTTTGCTGGTGCTTCGTGGATATCTTCGCGGTGGGATCCTTGACACGATTATTTTTGTAATCGCTTTCAACGAGCTTCTTCGCAGTCTATTAATGGGGAGTGTCAGCATGATCACATCTCATCAGAAAAAGAATCGAAAGTGAGCGTCTGTGATCTTACCTCCTTAGCAAATCGTTTCAGATGATGGTCAGGGATCTTGTGTTTGTACTGGTCCACCACGGGCTTGATATGTGGGAAAAGCTGTGCTATGTTAGTCCAGTTATATCCTGTGTTCTGTGTGAATACTCACAGTGTTCTCGTAAATTCTCTTCTGCTTCTCCAACGGAAGCTTCCTCCATTTCTCTCCATCTTTGTGTCTTCTCTCCGATTGATCAGTGGCAGGCTGGGGAGTCACGGGTGTATCAGTTCGGTGCTCGGAGGGTGTGTCCTCCTGGGTGTTCATAATCCCGTCAATGATACTTTGCAATGCCAAATTCTGTTGGTTTTTGGCGGGCTGACCCGGCGCAGGAGTAGCAGGAGTAGCAGGCAAAGTTGGCCGCTCCCACGTTGTTTTGCCCGATGCAGAGTAGTAGTAAACGCGGCCCTCCGCCTCCGCAGTATACCATCCCTCAGGCAATGGCCGAGGACCACGACGGTTGGGTTGTCTGGGCCGCTGAGGACCTCGCTCTCTCCGTTGCTGCGCTGGTCCACGAGGAGCATCGTACACAGGAGATGGAGAGCGAGTAAGAGATCGCTGGCGCTGCCCTTGT